TACATGGAGATTTAGAAATTATTTGTCTGGTCGTAGTAAAAAATAGGGTATAAAACCACAAAAATATGTAATTATTGAACTGACTTTATCATTTATAAAATTTATTGCACTGACATAAAATAAAGAATTTATTAAAATAATAACATGAGTTTTTTCTTCATTTTCTATCATCAAAAAGAGAAGGTGTAAGGACCCGTTCCGTTCAATTTATTTTTTCTTATTTTTTCTTATTCTTATTAAGATCAGATCAGATCAGACCAGATCAGATCAGACCAGATCAGATCAGATCAGATCGAATCAGATCAGATCAGATCTAACTAGATCAGATCAGATCCAATCAGATCAGATCAGATTCAATCAGATCAGATCCAATCAGATCAGATCAGACCAGATCCAATCAGATCAGATCAGATCAGGACTTATTAAAATCAGATTCCATCAAAAATTATTATTATTATTATTATTATTATTATTATTATTGTTGTTGTTGTTGTTGTTGTTGTTCTTAAAAATGAAAAAGAATAAACTTTAGAAATAGGTTAAATAGAAAACTGAGAAAGTAATCCTTAATTATTAGACGTCGGAAAAATTAGTTTTAAAATACATTGACAATGTCAATCTAATTCTACTTTTAAAATATATTTTTATTGCTACTAATAATTTGATTTTCAAAAGTTTTGATCTTTTATAAGGATGAAATTTTTAATAAAAATATTATCTTTTCTATATATTGATTATCTAAATTTAATTACTTTTTAATGTATATCTAAATTAAATATTTATTCTAATGTATATATGAAGTAATTATTAAAATATTAAATTAATATTCTAATTTCACAAAAAAATAATCATAAAATAAAAAATCTTATTACGTTATAATATGAATGATTATTCTAATATATGAATTAACTATTTTTATTTTATTAAAAATAATCATTAAATAAAAAATATTGATTATATTATAATATAAATTATCATTACAATTTTCAAACGTTATTATAAAGTCAAATCAAATTATTGATTTAAAATTTTAAATTAAATCATAATTAATCAGATCTGATCAGACCAGATCAGATCAGATCCAATCAGATCAGCTCAGATCAGATCCAATCAGATCAGATCAGATCTAATCAGATCCAATCAGATCAGATCAGATCAGAACTTATTAAAATCAGATCAGATCAGAAAAAATAAGTTGAACGGAACGGAGCCTAAATTTAATTTTTAGAGGGAGAAAATATAAACGTGCCCTCCATTCATTGACTATTTCACTAAATTCACTAAATTAATTACTCAACGACTGGCATGTTTACGCAACGAGTGATGTTTAGCGTACCTTGGATCCCTCCCATAATATTTTTCCATTTTACTTTTCTTTGGTCAAAAATTGTAAACTTTGAATTCGATATGTGGAAAAAATACATTGTATTATGATATACCTTTAATATCAATATATCTCTAATGAAATGTAGTTTTCAAATATCAAATTTTTATAAAATATACTTATGTATAAATAAAGATATTAGTGGGCAAAGTGCAATTTTGGAAAACGTGAAAAGTCAAATGGGAGGAATATTTTCGGACGTAGGGAGTATCAATTTTATAGACTTTCTCACTTATTTATTATTTTTATTTAAAAAAAGAAATATTTATTTAAGTAGTAAAAAAAATTATTTGGAGAATTTACTTAAATAGAACTAAAATATAATGACTTTCTCAATATAGGATCATATGTTTTTATTTCCCAATGTAGGACCACTAGTCATTATCCAGTAGTCATTATTCAATTAAATACTTTGTATCCACCATCACTCGACATTATTCCTCCTATTAGACATTATTAAGTCATATTTAGAGAATAAAAAAGTTTAAGTCCCACATTGGAAAATGACTTATGTTTTAGTCTTATTTAGTGCAAATTTTTCAATTTATTTTCCACATCGTTTCTATATTTCAGCGGCAAATAGATATTTACGAGTAACTGAACATTTATTTTTTAGTAATTAAATGTTAATTTTTAAGTAACTTAATGATTATTTTATAAAAATCGAGTTATGCTCAGAATAAGTATACTCATCCATACATAGCAGGTTTGTTTACTACCTCCGTCCCAAAGTATTTGTCCATTTTCATTTTTATACACTATCCAATACACTTCTTTAATTCATTTTATCTTATAATTTGTATATTAAACAATTATAGAAATTATATATTAATAATTTATATGTTACGACAAATCAAACAAGATCACACATGACTTTATTTAGGCTTACATATTAAGAGAATTTGATGAGTCAAAGTACTTAGATAAACAATTTCAAAAGTCAAAACTGGACGAATACTACGGGACGGAGGGAGTATCTCTTAAGCAGTTCTCATTCTAAAATCTAAATAGAGCAGGAAATCGGGATACATGTCTTAGAGCAACTCCAACGCCTCTTCTATATGCTTTATTATAGAAGATTTAACTGACACTATTCATTAATAACATCTCCAACGGATCTTTTATAAAACAGATGGTGAGTTAAAATGGAAGTCCCACCAGCTTTATTTAGCAGATTATGCTATGTGTACCCCAAGATTTGTACCCCAATTTGTACCCCGCAGTTTTACACCAACATTTTGTGTTGGTGTAAAACTAATTTTTGTTAAACGCACCAACATTTGTGTCCGTGTGAATTTTTATTAACGCACCAACACTTGTGTTGGTGTAAACCATCGAAATGTTTGTGCAAACATGTAGTGTACAAATGGGGTATATTTGTTGGTGTAAGTGTAGCATGGTCCTTATTTAGCAGATAACTATACATGAGCTAAATCTAAAAAATAATAAAATATTAAGTTGTCAGAGGAGAGAGAACAAACGGAACAAAAGGAAAAGAAACAAGTAGAGGAGATTTGACTCTTTACAGTATAAAGTAAAGATATAAATATTAAATATAATAAAAGTTTAAAATTTAGACTACATGGTTGGAGTTGCTTAGAAAAAGTGAACAGCTAAATAACTGTTTAAACATCTAATAGTGTTTATAACAAACGAATTATAGCAGCTCTCGTTGGAGTTGCTCTTACGGAAGAAGGCCGGAGTTTCTACGCACTCCCCTTGCTTTTGCCAGTTGACTCCGCCTCGAATCTCTCACATCAGTGTACTACTTATTTTTTTGAAAAAAAGAGTAAAGTTGAAATTATTTTGGATAATTTTTTTCAAAAATAAAAAAAGTGGTACATTAATATTATGTATAGTGCGTAAAATGTTAAAATCCACCAGTCTCTATATTTTTATTCTTTTTCTTACTAGTTTCATGTTAATTTCTATTGATTGTCTTATTTATTTCATTAAATTTCAATTCTATGGTTTTAGTTATTTTTCTTATTTTCGTTATTTTTATGTCTATTTTTTATTTTTATCCAAAGCTAGACTAATCTTTAAAAAAAGGAAAAGAATTGGTGGAGGTACAAAGTTATTTTAAAAATTTAAATGAAAATTTAAAAAAAAAGGATAGAAACTCATAAAAATAATCCCAACTTTCATTTTATTGCGCATTGGAGATTATTCTGAAAAATTTTACCTTTTTTAAAATTAAATTAGTTGGAACGTAACGATTTAGAACATGGTATTATCTTATTTAGTGGGAGTTCAAATATTCCTACACTTTTGATGTTGTTTATAAATATATAAATTTTATTTTTAAATTTTACACTTACAATCAAATAGATTAAATTAATAATAAAACTGGTTAAAACTCGTAGACAGAAACGGGAAGAATTAAACACGCATGGATACTTCGTGATTAACAAAATGCCGTCCAAAATGAGCATGCATGCACTTACGAACGAAGAGTCACTCAACTAGTCAACTCCTCGTAATCTCCGTCCGATCCAGCGAAGAGCCAACTTCCTCTCCGGCTTGGTTGCAGAGATGATTATACGAGCAAAACTCTCTCTCTGTAATACGTATACTCTTTCAACAATTCCCCGGTCTCCGATCATTTTCTCCGGCAGTAACGTCCCATCATTTTCGTTCGTCGGTGCACGATTCTACCGCCCTAAGCCTTGCACGTAGCGAGTTTATCTTGGGAGGAGATTGCCCACGTTTTCCAGTGCGGGAGGCGGGCAATACTACCTTAAGGAAAGCTCTGGCGACTCCGCTTTCCTTACCTCTGTTCAAGAAGCTTCTCCGGCGACACTCTACTACCCGACGTCTCTATCCATTCCCGTTTCTTATTTTTATTTTTTTATTTTAATTGTAAAATTCGAATGGTTTATAAGTTCGGATTATTGTTAATTTTATTTTTCCCGCTGTATTGTAACCAACATTCTGCTCTTTGGTAGCACAAAAAAACGTGAAATTAGAATTTGATAGTGTCAAAAGTGAATTAGAATTGGAGAATTCAATTCCATCCAAATGACTTCCAAAAAATTTTAACTCTCAATTCAATTTTAATTTCAACAATTTCGTGTAACAAACAGGCCCATAGTAAGAGGCTGATGGGGATTTTGGGTGGAAGAGAAATTATGCCATATCACATAATTTGATTAATTAGTATGTTCGAGGACCGTTCTCAAAACAAAAAAAATATTATAGGGACAAAAGGCCGAATACATCTATTTTATGAGGATCAAAAACAAAATTTACTATAAATTTCATATCAATAGAGTTATTTTTTAAAATATGATTTTGAAACATCATATTTTCATACTCATATTCTACATTTGTATCTAGATAAATATATATATTAACGATCGAAGAATTACACTGGAAATCATGAAATCTATGAGAGGAATGGAGTACAAATTAGAAAATATCTTGGGAGATGATTTAAATCCAAACACAACATATATAGATTTAAGAGAAAGAGAAAACAGAATTGCACAAATACGTACAATTACTCCGTATGTAAGAAGAGAAAAACAAAGAGAACACTTCATCAGATGCATCGAAAACTAATTAATTAACACGAAAGATGCAAGGGAAAAGAAAATCACAAGCAGCGGGCGATAATCGCAGTCCTAGCTGACATTTTTTTCTTCCTGCAACGAAAACATTGGAGCTGGAGAAGGAAAAAAAAAGGACAACATTAAATTCCCTAATTAAATGCCTTTTAAACTGATGCAGCATGTAACAACACAATGTTTATTTAATGAACGATAATAAATTGACTACCAAAAAATCAAACAAAACAAATGCACTAACACAGAAATATAGTACTTGTTTTTTTATCAATGCCCGGAGTATATTATTAGGGGAGAAGTAGCTAGGATTAATTACGTGGTTAATTAAGTACTATTATTGGATTCTCCAGCAGCTTTAGCTTTAATAGACTTAACGAATTCCCAACGTTCCCTGAAGTGGTAAAGTAAGTAGGCCACAATAACAACAAGAAGGGCAAATCCACCACCACTCAAGAGAAAAATAGGGGTCCTTCCATAGAAGGGTGAAATGTGAAGGACTAAAAGAAATATTACTACTATATAGTAGTAGTAGCATTTGTTGTTTCCCATTTTCTCGTTAATTACTCGAAATTAATTACTTGCTGCTCTCAATCTATCTGCTAATTATATAGGATCTATTTCTGCCTTTCATATACTCCGTATATACATACATACATACATACCATTTTCCTGCCTGCCTAGTATAGCTAGGTTGCATTATCATACTCCCTCTGTCCACCATAGATCTTCCCAATAGCCCTTTTTCTTTGTCCACAATAGATCTTCTCATTTCATTTTTTAACAAGTAAAATACCACAACTACCCCCACTTACTTTATTTATTACACCTCACCCACCTCATTTAATACACTCCACCCATTTTTCATTAATGGTATTATGGTAAACTTTCACCTTTTTTCAACTCTCCTTAAAAACCACCAAAAGTCAAAATGAGAACATCTTAGGCGGACGGAGGGAGTATAAAAATTGTTCGTATGGAATACATACGTATATCCAACTCGATTGTCTGGAAGTTCATACCAGCGACTCAGGATTCTCTATGTGTTTTCGCTCAAATATTCATTTCGCGTGGATGAGAATCCATTTGAAACTGGTCAACCGGTTAGAATAAAAATGACCCGATTGTCCACTTGTGAGAGAATATTAGAGAGTATCCCACATCGAAAAAGTGAGAATAAAATAACATGTGTATATGCTCTCGAGTTAGCTAAATACGGAGTATATTTTAATGTTGTTCAGCTCAAGTGTCTTATGACTTAGTCGAGTAACCCTTATTTCATCATAAATTATGTCAAGGTTCTATTCAATTTATCTTTTCTAAGAAAAAGTTAATGACATCTAAAAAGTATATCATACAAAGTGCATTATAAAATTATTTTTCTTTTAATTTTATTATTTATAAAAACTGTTTTGTAAGTTGATCTGATAAAACTACAAAGACACAAATTTCTGGAGAAAAAGAAAGATTGCGTTTGTATTTTTCATCATTATAGGCTATTACGATGGAGATATAGAAATTATTTGTCACATCATCGTAAAAAACAGGTATAATATCACAAAATATGTACTCCCTCCGTCCCGCTATATTTGTCCAGTTTTGACTTTTGGAACTGTTCATCTAAGAACTTTGACTCATCAAATTCTCTCAATGTGTAAGCCTAAATATAGTCATGAGTGATCTTGTTTGATTTGTCTTAACATATAGATTATTAATATATAATTTCTATAATTTTTTAATATACAAATTACAAGATAAAGTGGATTAAAGAAATACATTGGATGATGTGTAAAAATGAAAGTGGACAAATACTCCGGGACGGAGGTAGTAATTATTTCTTCATATTGTACTGACATAAAATAAAGTATTTATTAAAATAATGACATAAGTTATTTCTTCATTTCTAACATCCAAAAGAGAAAGTGTAAATGTAATTTTTAGAGGGAGAAAATATAAACGTGCTTCTCCATTCATTGACTATTTCACTAAATTACTTAATTACTCCGCAGTCTGCACGCGGTTCTTGCTTTAGGAAAGAAACGACTGGCATGTTTTCGCAATGAGTGCATTTTGGTCTACCTTAGGATGTAACATGGGTGGCCCAGAGGGGTTACAAAGTGGCCAACTGCACATGATTCCTTAAAATTTAGGGCGCTATATTTTTAAATTTATTAATAATTTTAAAGTAAAAGTATTTGAAAAATATAAAATAGAGCACAAAATGTAAATTTTGGACCAGGCCAATTTTATTTTTTCAATTTTCGGGGCCGGCCCTGGGTGTAACTTGGGTGTATATCAATTTCATGGATTTTTTTATATATTTATTATTTTTATTTAAAAAAACAAATGCTTATTTAAGTTGTAAAAAAGTTTATTTTGCACGGTGTTTCCATATCTTAGCAGCAAATAGTTATTTACGAGTAACTGAATATTTATTTTCTAGTAATTAAAGGTTAATGTTTAATTAACTTAATGATTATTTTTTTTTTAAAATCCAATTATGCTCAGAATAAGTATACTCATACTTGCAGGTAGTTTGTTTATTTTGTGACTAAAATTTTAAATTGTGGGAGCAATCTACGCAATCCGTTCTCATTCTAAAATCCAAATAGAGCAGGAATTCCGGGACATGTCTTACGGTAGAAGGCCGGAGTTTCTAGGCACTCCCCTTGCTTTTGCTAGTTGACTCTGCCTCGAATTTCTTACTCCCTTCCTTTAAGCTATGTCTTATGGGGCGTGAGGAGGTGCTTCACCACCATCCGTCACGCCCCTCTTCCATAACACCAATAATTCTGTGATTAGGCGTTGCCTCTCTTCTGGGCGTTGACCCTCTTCCTCCCTTTTTTTAATATTTCAATCAATTAACATTTATTAACACATATTCAACTTTCATCACATTCATTCACACTCATCCTAGTCCTGTTTTTCTATAGAAAAATTGTCCATAAAAATCCTAACTTTATCCAATTTTCCAAAAATAATCTAATCTTTCACTGTGATGCATAATAATCTAAACTCTATGGAAATTTTGTTGGAACTGGAAAGCAGAGAACAAAAAAAACAAACACTGCAAAGTAGAGATAAAACTGAGAAGGAAGTGATATTTTATTCACTGATATGTAGAGCTATAAATAGAGCTCTCAACTTGAAAAATCAAACGGAGATAAACTTCAACAAATCAGAGATCCTAAAAATCCTCTCCACTAACCATGACTTATTCCACTAACAGAAATACCAAAAGAATAGGAATAATGAAAATAACCAACAAGGACTTAGTTTATGATGAGCTGTTAATTATGAATCAACAATCTTTATTCAACACTCCCCCTTGATTCATAGTTGCATACTCCGAGCATATTTCTGAACTTGACATGCTTCTGGTGAGGCCAACGATTTGGTGAAAATATCAGCCAAGTTTTCCAGACTGCTGCAAAATTTCAAAGAGATGAGCCCTTTATTGATCAAATCTCTTATGAAGTGAAACCTAATATCGATGTGTTTCGTTCTCCCATGCATTACCGGATTCTTTGCAATCGCAATAGCTGATCGATTATCACAAAAAATCTCAGTAGCCTTCGTCTGATCTTGCTCCAAGTCAGCTAGAAGCCTTCTCACCCATACTCCTTGGCATGCCGAAGAAGTAGCAGCCACATACTCTGCATCTGCCGTCGAAAGTGTTGTTACACCTTGCTTCTTGGAGCTCCACGTCACAGCTCCTGACCCAAGATTGAAAACGAAGCCTGAAGTACTTCGCCTATCATCCACGGAACCTGCTCAATCATTGTCCGTGAACCCAACCAACTCAAATTTATCAACATTTGAGTACCAAATACCGAAATCTTGAGTTCCAGCTATATAGCGTAGAATCCTTTTTGCAGCTCCATAATGTTGACGTGTTGGATTGTGCATAAATCGGGAAACCATACCAACGGCGAAGGCAATATCGGGTCTCGTATGCGTTAAATAAATCAAACCTCCAACTAGACTACGAAAGCTTACTGCATCAGCTTTCTCTGTACCATCTTCCTGCTGCAATTTTTCATTGATATTCATGGGAGTAATTGCAGCTTTGCAATTTTTCATATTAAAGCGTTTGAGAAGATCCTCGGCATATTTTTTCTGGGAGACGAACACTCCATCTTCTCCTTGCTTAATTTCCAACCCAAGAAAATAACTAAGCAACCCCAAATCTGTCATCTCAAACATATTCATCATACTCTCTTTGAACTCATAAACAAGAGAGTCAGATGATCCCATATAGATGATATCATCAACATATACACAAACAAAGAGCAAACTACCTTTACCTCCCTTCTTTGCATACAACGTAGGCTCATTAGCACTTCTTTCAAATCCATTTTGTTGGAAAAATGAGTCAAGCTTGCTGTACCACGCTCGCGGAGCTTGCTTCAATCCGTATAAGGCTTTCTTCAACCTATAAACCTTATCCTCCATTCCTTCAACGACAAATCCTTCCGGCTACATGACATAGACTTCCTCCTCCAAATCTCCGTTTAGAAATGCAGACTTAACATCAAGTTGATAGATAGGCCACTTAAGATGAGCAGCCAAGGCCAAAAACATTCTCACCATTTCAAAGCGAGCAACGGGAGAGAACGTTTCCTCGTAGTCGATGCCTTGCTGTTGTGCATACCCTTTGACCACCAAACGAGCCTTGTGTTTCTACACACTCCCATCCGCATTATACTTTGTCTTGAACACCCACTTCAAGCCAATTGCACTTTTATCTTCCGGCAAATCTACGAGCGTCCAAGTGCCATTCTTTTCGATTGCTCCAATCTCTTCCTTCATTGCCTTTTGCAACTTTTCTTCTCTGGCAGCTTCATGGAATCGACTAGGATCTGCAACCATAAAGGCAAAAGTACATCTCTCATATATCTCAGTTAGAGACCTATGGCCTCGTGGAGGTGGTGTTTCGAGAGATGATGAGCTGCTTGACGAGGCAGGTGTATTTGTGTTTGGTGAGGTGTGAGGCGTAGTTGGAGGAGTAGAGTTTGGAGTAGTATTTGGTGAGTCGGTGGGGCTGTTTTGTGGTGAATTCATACAAGAATCTGCATCACTTGAGTCCAGCGGAAGGAGAATATATGAATCATCTTGCTTGGTCTCCCAATCCCAACAAGCATCTTCGTGGAAAATGACGTCTCTGCTGATAATAACTTTGCCACTGAGAGGGTTATATAGCTTGTATGCTTTGGATTGAGAAGAGTATCCAATGAAGATACACTTCACAGATTTCTCATCGAGCTTTCGATGATTTTGAGAGCTCACCATACCATAAGCTACGCATCCAAAAACCTTTAAATGGCTCACAAATGGTTTTGTACCTCCCCAAGCTTCATATGGAGTGCGATTTAAGACAGCTTTTGTAGGAGATATATTCAGCAAATATACAGCTGTTGCAACAGCTTCTGCCCACAACGAGTTTGGAAGCTGCTTCGCCTTCAACATGCTTCTCGCCATCTCTACAACGGTGCGATTTTTCCTCTCAGCCACACCATTCTGCTCCGGCGTATAAGGTGCTGTCAATTCCCTGTGTATTCCGTTAGCTTTGCAAAAATGATTAAAATCATTAGAGCAAAACTCACCACCTCTGTCTGTACGTAGAACCTTGATATTATTCTCACTTTGCATTTCCACCATCGCCTTGAAATTTTTGAAGTTCTCAAAGGCTTCGGATTTATTTTCCAGAAAATAAACCCAACTCATGCGACTATAGTCATCCGTAAGTAGGAAGAAATATCGACTTCCATGTTGGAAAACATTTTCACTTTGACATTTTGCTAATGACAATGTTTGTTTCCGTTTAGGTTTTGATATTGACAAACCGTCGGGAACATGGAAAAAAATGAAAAGATTCAAAGAGATAGAAAAAGTTCTTTGAAGAAACAAAAAGCACAAGAAAGGCATTGACGTTGCTAAAGATGGCGACATTGGCGCTTTGAAGACGTATTCTAAATACTTAGGTTTTTATTGTAACAAGCTCATTCAATTTCTCTACGTCATGGCTCAAAACAAAATATGTTTTTCATGCATCAAATTAGTGTTTTCATAAATGGTTTTTAAGTTTCTAAAACCCATGATTCTTGCTTAACCAAAACCATAACCATCGGTTATCGGTGTTCGGCTATGGCGTTCGGTTTTCGGCATTGGTTATTGGCATTGATTTTAACCAAATGGTTTTTGGTTTTTTATCTTTGGTTTATGCTTCTGGACACATTTAAAGGTTTTCCAAATGATTAGTTTTCAAAAACCATAACCTTTGTTTTTCGGCGTTGGTTATCGGCATTCGACGCCGGTTATCGGTGTTGGTTTTTTTGGCGCCCAAATCAATCAAGTGATTTTTAAGATTTTATGATTGAGTTTTACTTCTGGGCATATCTAAATAGTTCAATAACAAAAACATGTTAAAAACCACCTTTCATTTTTGGTCTTTTGGTGAAAACCATGTGAAACGGCATAAACTTGGCTAGCCGTGGTTTTTACCTTAATGAAGTGGTTTTTAAGTTTTTATACTTGGTTTCTACATAAAATACATTGTGTATGAGTTTTTAACACTTGGTTTTCATTTTGGAGAACTTTGGTTTTTGACATCAGTTTTTGGCGTTGGCTGCCAAACCATGGTTCTGGCAAACCATCCCAACATGCATGTCGGAAATCCCAACAGCGATGTTGGCCTTCAGAAGCCCTGGGCAGTAAGTTTTTGAACAGCGATGTTCATGGTTGAACAGCGATGTTTTCAAATGACCGTTGGGCTATTTAAGACAAAATCTTTCCATTTTTGAAAGTCAAACACCCCAACATCGATGTAGACCTCTAGACATCGATGTTTTGGTGACCGTTAGCCATTTTTAAAGGAAAGTCAAAGCCAAAACAGCGATGTTCACTATATGAACAGCGCTGTTAGGGTAGATTTCAGCACATCCACTTTTATTTGGTTTCCACAATTCAAGCCAATCAACCCCAATCTTCTCCCAACCGTTGCACCTTGTTTTTGGGTATAAAAAGGGGTCTCTTGGGTCTACTTTACACATCCATTCCTCACACATTTCATAGCTTTACATTGCATCATTCCATAAACTTTTTACATAGCTTTTTAGAGCCATTTCTTGAGGAATTGAGTGTATTCTTGATCTAAATTAGTTTACTCATATTCTACTCTTTAAGAGAGTTTTTGTTCTTGAGTGGTTAAGTGTTGTGAACACTTTAAGGGAGGTTTGTTCCCTTGGTTGTACGAAGGAAGGGCATATTCCTTCGGGTTGAAGTCTTGGAGTGCGGTATCTCCGAGCAAGTGTATTGAGGCTCGTGGGACTTGAGTTCTCAAGTTGTAACGGTTTGTTAAGCACCCGTAAGCTTAACGGAAGTAGTGTAGCTCGAGAGAGTCTCTCGGGAGACTGGACTAGCCACACTTTGTGGTGAACCAGTATAAATATTGGTGTGCTCCCTTTACTCCTTTTTATTCCGCTCTTTACTTTATCCCTGCGACTTTTATTCCGCGAAAATTTATAAACATTCTCGTGCCTCACTATTCACCCCCTCTAGTGAAGGGCACCAATTCTAACATTCCACCCATGGACTCCGTATTCACAGGCCCGCACAAATCAGCGTGAATGAGCTCAAGACATTTAGAAGCTCTCCAAGCGACACCGGTAGGAAACGATTTGCTCGTTTGTTTCCCATAAATACATCCCTCACATAAATCAAAAGCATCAATTTTAGGCAGCCCTAGAACCATACCTTTCTCACGTAGAAGCTTTAACCCATTGGCGTTGAGGTGTCCATATCGTTGATGCCACAGTTTCGACGGCTCTTGTGTGCCGGAAACAAGAGCGTATTTATCTACACTTGAGATTAGCAGCGGAAACATCTTATTCGCTGTCATGCAAACCTTTGCAATGATTTGCCCAGATTTCTTTTCTTTGATGACACAGGAGTTATCTTCGAAGAATACCATATATCCAGTGCTCATCAATTTCCCCACACTCAATAGATTATATGCCAATTTTGGAATAAAATAGACATCATGAATGTGGTTTAATATACCATGGCAATTCTTTACTTCTACAACACCTCTACCTTCTATTTGAATGGCATTGTTGTTGCCTAGCTTGACCTCGAACTTGTAAGATTCGTCAAGCTCTTTGAACATCTCCTTGTTGAAACACATGTGATTCGAGCAGCCGCTATCTACGAACCACACATCGTTGGGCATTTCCACGGCGTCTGCAACTGCCATGAATAACTTGTTTTCATCTTCTTCTTGAACGTAATTTGCTTGCTTCTCCTTGGTACAACAATCTGCTTTCACGTGCCCGTATTTGCTGCAATTATAGCACTGAATATGGCTCTTGTCGCCTTGCTGTCCACCTTTTGCACCTGATCAACCGCCACGACCTCAACCTTGACCACGCCCACGACCTTGGAGACCTCCTCTGCCTCGTCCTCTTGCTGTAGAGAATTCCTTTTGATTAGAGGGTTCACCTTTCACTTGAAAAGCTTTTTCATCAGACTTTTCAAATGATCGGTTAATCCTTGACTCGTGGGCTTGAAGAGATCCCAAAAGTTCTTCGAACGAAAAAACTGATAGATCCTTCGATTCTTCAATCGCAGCTACAACATGATCAAACTTTGGAGTCAAGCTTCTGGGTACCTTCTCAAAGATGATCTGGTCTGTGATCTTTTCTCCGCAAGATCGCATTTGGCTAACTATTGTCATTGCCCTCGACAAAAAATCAGCCACTGATTCTCCATTCTTCATGATCATCGTTTCAAAGTCACGTCGAAGTGATTGCAATCTCACAACGATGACTTTTGAGTCTCCTTTGAATTCTTTCTGCAAGGTTGACCATGCTTGCTTTGAGTTGGTTGCCGTTGCGATTCGGGAGAAGACGTTGTCGTGGACTGCTTGCTGGATGATTGCCAACGCCTTCGAATCTTTCTTCTTGTTCTCCCGCAATTTGTTCGCCTCGTCGGGATCTGCGTATCCCAGTTCCACAAAGTCCCATAGATCCTGAGACTTTAGTAGAGTCTTCTTCTGAATACTCCAGTATTCGTAGCCTTCTCCCTTAAAGATCGGTATGAGAGGCTGTGAAGCACCCATCGAACTCCCGTTGCTGGCCATCGGAAAGGAACCAAGCTCTGATACCACAAATATTGGAACTGGAAAGCAGAGAACAAAAAAAAACAAAGTGAAAATTGGAACTATTTGTTATAAATTTTTGTTAAAAAGCAGAGATAGAACTGAGAAGGAAGAGATATTTTATTCACTGATATGTAGAGCTATAAATAGAGCTCTCAACTTGAAAAATCAAACGAAGATAAACTTTAACAAATCAGAGATCCTAAAAATCCTCTCCACTAACCATGACTTATTCCACTAACAGAAATACCAAAAGAATAGGAATAATGAAAATAACCAACAAGGACTTAGTCTATGATGAGCTGTCAATTATGAATCAACAATCTTTATTCAACAAATTTGTGAGTTTTGGATCGCCGTTAAGTTCCTAACGGCAAGTTAACGAAACAGCCTGTTTTGTGCCACAAAATGAAAATTGGAACTATTTGTTATAAATTTTTGTCTTTTAATTTTTTTGAAATCTTATTTTAGAGTTTTAAAATGATTTTCTACCTCCATTTCTTTTTGTTTTTTTTTAAAAAGTTTATTCTTACCTTAGAAAAATAAAAAAACATAGTATAAAAATAACTTAATTGAGAAAATTAACTAAAGTCATACAAAAATGATGTAATAAATGAGGTCAATAGAAATCAAACTGAAATTGGTAAGAAATAAAATAAAAGATTGCTTCTTTGGTGCACCTTGGGTGCATACCATTTTTGTAGACCTTATCACATAAAAAATATTTTTTTTAATTTTTTTATTAAAAAATATATGCTTATTTAAGTAGTAAAAAATGCTAATGTTGCTCATATGTAGGTCCATGGTGGACTTTAGGTTCACTATAGAATTCGCCAAAATAAAAATGTAAGGAGTGAGTGGAGGGTTCTAACATTTTGCGCATTATAAAGAGCATGAGTGTACTACTTATTTTATGAAACAAGGGTAAATTTTAGATTATTCTAGATATTGTTTTCCAAAAATAAGAAAAAGTGGTACATTAATACTCTGTATAGTGCGTAAAATATTAAAATCCATCAGTCCATATATTTTTATTTTATTTCTTACTAGTTTCATGTAAATTTCTAATGATTACTTTATTTATTTTATTAATTTTCTATGGTTTCAATTATTTTTCTCATTTTTGTTATTTTTTATGTCTATTTTTTATTTTTATCCAAAGTTAGACTAATCTTTAAAAAAGGAAAATAATTGATGGAGGTACAAAGTTATTTAAGAAATTTAAATGAAAATTTCAAAAAAATATAAATTTAAACATGAAAATTCATAAATAAAAAATCTCAAATTTCATTTTGTGGCGCAAAACAGACCGTTTCCGTTAACCCGTCGTTACTAACTTAACGGTGACCTATAACTTGCAAGTTTCAGTAAAGTAGGGATTATTATGCATCAAAGTGAAAAGTAGAATTGTTTTTGAAAAACCAGGTAAAGTAGAGATTATTCTTGAAGATTTTACCTTTTCTAAAATGACTTGGAACGATTTAGGATGATATTGTCTTATTTTGTTGGAGTTTCTCTGTACTTATAAGTTAGTCAGTAATGCTTATAAGTAATAGAAATTACCTTAAATAAGACTAAAACATAAATAAAGTACCAAAATAGGATTCCATATTTTTATTCTCGAAATTGCAGCTCGCATTGTGGTAGTGGAGGTAATGTGACATTGTACAGATGCACATTACTATATTTTGCAGCTCGCACTTGTTCTTTTAAAGCTCTACAAGATTAACATTCATTAGAGGAAATTTCAGGTTTGTCGGCGCTTCTTTTTCCAAAAAATTTGTTTTCTTGTTAATTTTTCATTTTCTTTTTCCAATTTTTCAAAATCGTTTTCAAGTCTGGAAAGATGTTTCTTTAAGGATTTGTTAGTTTTGGAAGCGCTAACAAATTCTTCATAAAGTTCATGAAGTGCTTCTTGCATTTCTTCAAAAGTATAAGAGTCGGAACAAGTGGTATATTCCTCTTGGACGTCGTCGCTTTGATATTCGTGTGCCATGAGGCAAAGGTTTGCAGCTTCGTCCTCCTCTTGGTCGGTTGATTCGTCGCCGGAATCGCCACCCCAAGAGATGTAAGCTCTTTGCTTCTTGAAGCCAGGCTTGTCCTTGCCGTGCTTGACTTTTGGACACCTCGGCTTGATGTGGCCAATCTCGCCACAGCCGTAGCATTTAGGAGGACCATCGTGCTTCCTTCTCTTCCGCTCAAATTCCTTCTTCATGAATTTGTGGAACTTTTTGATGACGATTCCAAACTCGTTGTCATCGTCGCTTGAAACCTCTTCCACCGGTTCCTTGGTGGCTTTGAGAGCTATTCCCTTTTTCTTTTGCTCGTCCAATGATGGATTAAGAATGGTAGATTCGTAAGTCTTGAGATTACCTCTTAACCCATCAATTGTGACGTTAGAGACGCCAATTGACTCGTAAATGGAATCGGCCTTGAAGCGCCATTCAGGAGTCAAGCTGCGAAGGATCTTCCTCACTAGATCCTTGTTGGAGTAGCTTTCTTCAAGGCGTGAAGATCGTTGATGATTTTTGAAAAACAGTCAAACATGTCATCGATTTTCTCACCTTCCTTCATTCGGAACATTTCGCACTCTTGAGTGAGAAAATCGATCTTGGCTTCACGAACTTGATCGGTACCTTCGTACGTCACTTCAATAGGATATCGATCTTGTGCAGCAGGAGATCTTTCGGTAGTCGTCGGGGTTAACCGCACAATATAGCATATTGATGGCCTTTGCATAGTTTTCCACCTTCTTGATGTCTTCGGCATCAAACTCGTCATCGGTCTTTGGGACCGTGGTTTCTCCCACTTTCTTCATTGGGATTTCTTCGCCATTTTTTATGACAAACCACAATTGGAAGTTGGTGGAAAGGATATAGATTCTCATCCGTTCCTTCCAATACGAGTAGTTGGTGCCATCAAAGAGCGGTGGCCTAGAGGTGGATTGCCCTTCGCCAATACCTGCGTACAAATTTCTAGGAGAAGAGCCCATGATCTTATTCCTCTCAAACGGTTAAGTCTGGAAGAGAGTTAGACTTTGATACCAATTGTTAGAAAAACGTCCCAACGCTAGAGGGGGGTGAATAGCGTTTGAAATGAAAATGACGCAGGAATAAAAAATTAGAAGCGTAAAGTAAAGAGCAAGGAAGAGGCACACCGTTTTTACCCTGGTTCACCACAAACATGTGGCTAGTCCATCTTCCCGAGAGACTCTCTCGAGCTACACTACCAACATTAAGCTTAACAGTGCTTAACAAACTCGTACAACTTGAGAGTTCGAGTCACACGAACCTCAACAACCTTCGAAGAAACAACCCTTCCTTCGAACTACTTAAGAGAAAAACTTTCTCTTATCAAGTGTCTAGGAACAATAAATCACTCAAGAACAATACTCTCTTTTAGAGTGGATAATAAGTAACTAAAAACGCTCAAGAACACAACACGAACTTCACAAAAATGGCTCTCGAAAAGCTATGAATAATGTATGAATGTAATGCAATGAGAAATAAGAGTTTTGAAGTAATGTGATGTGTAAAGCAGACCCAAACACCCCATTTTATAGTAGAAAAATAGGCTCCAACGGGTAGGAGTTGAATGGGGGTGATTGGCACAATTTGTGGGATTTGATTAAAATTGGATCTGCTGAAAATTAGTCAGACAGTGATGTCCATGGCTTGGACATCGCTATTCTAGGCATAGATTTTGAAAAACATGAAGCAACGGTCAAGCCAACAGCGATGTCTAAAAGGCCTACATCGCTGTTTTGGCTGTTGAGTTCCAAACATGGAAAGTTTTAGCCATAAATTCCTTCCAACGGTCAGGTGCCTACATCGATGTTCAATACTTGAACATCGCTGTTGCTGGGTCAACAACACTGTCCAAAAACCTTCTGCCAAAGGCATTTCTTTTTGGCTTAGGTTGGACATCGATGTAGAGGGGTCTACATCGCTGTTCCAGATGTTTCTAGAAACCCAACCTTGGCTCAACAGCGATGCCCATACACCAACATTGCTGTTGGAAGACTTAATGCCAAACCATGGTTTTCAGCTGCCCATGCGAGACAGCGCTGTTGGTCACCCCAACATCCTTGGCCTTTCGATTTTGAAGTTTATGAGAAAGGCAGGGAATTGGAACAGCTTTATCCGTGCCTATTAGTTAGAATAAACACCGTCCGACAACACCGTTAACGTCTTAATGTTTATGCTATTGGCACGGGATTTGGCACGGAATATGCAAAGCCAAATTGAAACGCAAATAGAAACATGCCATGTGGCTACTTTCTTTTTTTCGGCGTAGTCACAGCATGTCCGTGCCTAATATTCCATGCCAATTTCGAAAGTTTTTTTTTTTGTAGTGATTCTTACATTTGAACCATTTCGACCAAACTAATTTTATAGAGTAGCTGGTATCATTCCCACATGGCATCAATCGGGTAGGTCCTATATGCAGACCACACACCCTACCCTTCCTAATGCTACAAAATGAAGTCACTTAATTAGCCTTCACATAGAAGACACATTGTAATTACCTTGAAATGTAGTCCTAGGCAAACGCAATTATATATCCATCCAAGCCAAAAAGAATTGTCATATTTCACTAGCCAACCAAGCCACTTGACTTCAAAAACACACTAGGATAAATCAAATATAAGAATATAGATCTACTAGGCTAATTTTTTTCTCGTATGGGGCTTAGATGCAAGATTAAGGTTTAAAGCTAATACCAATGTTTAAGAACTCTTCATTATTTAATATATAAGTATATGTATTTATAATGAAGGTGATGACCTGTTAGCCCACTGAGGATGAGAGGGAGAAGTGAAAACAGTAAACCTAGTAGCTAATGGACGCTAGCGAACAAATGGATTTGAGGAATCCTTGGCGGGGCTAGAATCATACACTAGTTATCTGCTAGCATATACATTCAAATTCTGTCAATCCCTTCGAAAACTTCACGAATAAAAAAAACTATGGAAATCACATCAAAATAACATGTATAATTAAAAATAATAACATAGACAAACAGATTTAGTTATGACTTGAAGAGGGTTGATTACTCGCTTCAATGGATATCCAAAAGGCAAGGCATTGATGCTGTGTTTTCAGGCCAAGACGTAATTAAGAATATATGTTATTTTATATTCCGCAATAAATATTGCATAAATAATTTGAAGTGTAGCCACTAAATAAATTTTTGAAAATTAACATTTTAATATTTTATACAAGTACTAGCTTTAAAATACTAACTATTTTATTTTGCAAAAGTAGCAATTGTTTTTTTCGTATAAATTAAGAGATTGCTTTTTTTAATTATCTTATAATCATTGGTTAGGATAACAATTTTTATAAAAATAACAATAATAATAATAATAATAATAATAATAATAATAATAATATCAACAAAAATTATAATAAGAATAATACTGTATACTCCATATATTTCAACTCTTTCAGGTTTCTTCAAACTTTTTACGATTTTTCTAATTTCTTGCATTTTTGCCACTGATTCTCGTTTCTTCTAATTATTTGTAGTTTTTTTCTAACTTTTTACAGTTTTTTCCAATAATGACTTTAAAATTTTATTCAAGTGTATTTTTAATACGAGTAATATTTATTTCAACATTTTTTATTTTCATTTTTGTTATTTCAAAAGTATAATATTTTTTTTTCTATATTTTTGATTATTTTTAATAATTTCTAACTCATACTAGTTTTTTTACAATTCTTCCAGGTGTATACAATTTTTGAGTTCCATTGAGTTCGTTGTAGTATTTTTAAATCTAAACTGGGTTTTTCTAGTTCATTTGAATTTTTCAAATTATTTCATGTTTATTCCAATATCTAATCGTTTTTTCTGATCCTAAGAAACTGGTTCTTGGGGCTTCTTTATTTAGGTTGGAAAAGTTAACTTTCAATTTTTTCTAACCCTTCCAATTTTTTTCAACTCTTTTGGTTTTTCCAATTTTTTTGAGTGTTTTCCTATAACAATTTAAAAAAGTGTTTATATATGATAAATATACAATAACATTTTATTTATTATCAAATTTATAATATATTACCTCAAACATGAATAAGGAAAAATTCTTTTTTTTTATCTAAAATTAGAGTTTTTTAAATGTTACGTTTATTTTGGTGATCATTTACTTGAGTGAGCTTTTAATACTTTAATTTTTCTAAGATTTTCTAATTTTTCAATTGTTTTCAACTCTTTCTATTGTTTTAACTCTTTCTATAGTTTTCAATTTTTTTTCTTTAAAATTTTAATGAAAAACAAGATGCCCTAAGAGCACTGGAAATACCAGGGATTCGAACCGGGGCTTCAAATTTTCTATATCCCACATCAGCTTAAACCCCTCTTTAACTTAGACCATAGTTTCAGTGAGTATACTCGGCTTCAAATCTTTCTTTTTTATTTTTAATATACATTTAATAAAAGAAAATTAATAAGATTTCATTAGTCAATTGATTTTAAACCGCAATAATTTATTAAATAAAAAATACATTCAATAAAAAAAGTACATTAAATTAAAAAAAATAACTTAATAAAAAAACACCCAAGACCAGATGGAGGAACAAATGGAGGATTCGTGATAAATTTGAAAAATAAGAGAAAGTTTAAGATTTTTTTTCTCAACTTCGGATTTCTTGACGATTTCTTTGTTATTTCTTCATTGATAGAGCAAAAAAAAATCTTTTAAAGAGTAAAGGAAAGTTCATTTGTTTTATTTATAGTGCAAAAAAAGGTTTTTTAATTTTCAACATTTTTGTTTGTTTAGAATGTTTATTTATCGCCACAGTGCCACACATTATTGTCACATTGTAAATGTCACGCTATCATCGTCAAACTGCCATCCATTGGCGCCGGCCACCAGGGTACCGCTACGGGTCGCCGATGATTGTTAAACCACACTGATATATTACAATGTCAGTACCTTTTCATCACACTATCAACGTAGACTCTTACATCACATTGCTAGTACATTATACTACTCTTTTAGTCTTAAAACTATTTTAGTCTTAAAAGATTTAAGATCCCTATTTTGGTATTCACATAATTTTTTACTCATATCCAGGGAGATTTCTTTCGTGTCTATTGCTATTGAGGCGTTAAAACATGGATAATGGGGGAGCTTTAAGAGTATTTCCATCGCCCCAAGTGCCAAACTTATGTTGTTGTTGTCGCTGTAGCATTTTTTAAAATTAAATTTAATAATTAGTACTTTATAGTATAAGGGTTTCCATATTTGGTTCTCTATTACCAAATATTATTTTCGTAGTCGTTTTATGGATGCTTTCCACAAGTGGTCCTTTTTTTAGTCTTTTACTATGTTGGTGTTAATTTAAAGAATAAAAATACAATTTGACATCAACCTTATGTCCAATGACATATTCTGTTATTAGTTAGACGAAAAACACAAAAATTGACTATGATTGTGAGCTAGGATTCCGACGAAAAACCGCATCTATAGATCATGGTTATAGTAGAAAACGACTGTAATTCACAAGCGACGCTTCAGGAACTGTCTTTGGAATTGTGTATGACAAAAAAGATATCTTATCATTGTAAAGTTACACTTTTAGGGCCTGTTTGGGAATAGCGTTAGAGATTAGCGTTAGCGTTTTCAAAACACTATCTACGGGCAGCGTTTAGCGTTAGCGTTTTCAAATTAATCTGCACCGTTAAAATTTTATTCAAAACGATGAAGCTAATCGCTAACGCTATTCCCAAACAGGCACTTAATCTTTAAATTAATACCCACATGATAGAAGATAAAAAATGACTATTTATGGAAAAATACTCATAAAAAAAGGACTATTAGAGTAATATTTGATAATAAAAACTAAATAGGAAGAACCATGAAAATTTTTTATAAATTGGGTGAGTGCCAAAATTTAAGAGTAAATTCCATACTTGATACTTTATAACAGGGGGGTTTCCATATTTAGTCTTTTATTATCAAATATTACCCCCGTAGTCCTTTTTTTAAGGGCGTCTTTCCACAAATGGTCCTCTTTTTGATCTTCTGCCATATTGATGTTAATTCAAAAGCTAAAAGTATAATTTGACATCAACATTATGTCTAGTGACGTGTTCTGATATTAGTTAAGCAGATAACACAAAAATAATGACTATGATTTTGGGCTAGGATTCCGACGAAAGACCACATTTGTAGACTATGATTGTAGACTGTGACTATGATTGGGTTAGGATAACACAAATGATGCAAACGAAACAGCCTTTGAAATTGTGTATGACAAAAAAGATATATTATCATTGTGAAATTACACTTTTAGCCCTCAAATTAACACCAACATGATAGAAGCTCAAAAAAAGACTATTGGTGGAAAGATACCCATGAAAGAAGGATTGGAGTAATATTTGATAATAGAGTACAATAGAGAAATATTCCAAAATTTAATTAGGGGACGAACTCCATAGGCATTATCTGGTTCATCCGCAGCTATCTGTCTCGACCAGTGAAGGGGAAGAAGAGCAAGAAATATGGACGATTATACCAGAGAAATGATGGACCTCAAAACCCTCGTTACTCGAACCCTAGAAAAGAAAGGCGTCCTAGCTAAGATCCGGGTATACATTTCTCACGTCCTCTATATGTAACACTGCTTAGTATGGAAATGTTTTGTCGATCTGATTCGCTCATTTATGAATAATGGGTATATATTCCATTGAAATTTTCCCAAAAGAGGCGCTGTCTAATTGGGGCTCAGCTGTAGGTACATGAAAGTTTCAATTGTTTTATAAAGAAATTAGGGTTCTTTTCCCCCAACTTAATTATAGGAAGCATTTTCTCTTAAATTAAAAGTGGGTTTTTTTGTGTGTTTAAGGGAGTGGATGGTGGTGGAGTTTTGATTCATTTAGCTGGAACGTGAAATCATAGACACACTGTTTAATTAGAGGCTAGTTTTTACTCTCTATCTCTTTCTTTACTGCTGTTTCATGTTTTTCAATTTGGAGCATAAAATTGAAAGAAAAGCATGTCATCTAGTGCTCTCATGCCAACTTGTTTTGAAGTTTCATAAAGCTCAGTTTTTTTTTTACACTATAACCTGATAGATGGTCCACCCGTGTTGATTTTACAATTTATGCTTGATTATTCTAGCTTGAGTGCTCAAAATTGAAGTAAACATTTGTGGACAAAAATCTATACTACGGGGAAACAAAACTGAGAATGCTTAACTGGTATAGCCATTTATTCATGTTTACTGTGACATTGTGACAATTCTGAAGTTCTTATCCCACTTAGCTAAAAATGAATGGCCTTTTTTGTCTTTGTCGTATATTTTACTCTTTCTAATATGTGAACGCTGTGCAACAATATTTTTTTTGTTTTCCGGGTATCCTTTTTAGGCTGAGCTCAGAGCAAGTGTGTTTGAGGCTATCGAGGAGGAGGATAGAGTGATTGAAAACGAAGAGGGATTGCCTCCTGCTCTATTGGGTAGTTGCAATGATCGTGCTAAGCAACTTCACAATTCACCTTCAGGTCTATATAATTGATTGATTGTAATATTTTATTCATCTTGTTCTTGCGAAATCTCTTCAGGTCAAACACTTAGTCACAAACACTGAGTATAACTTACAAACTTCTAGCTGTGACCTTATTATTTAAAAAGAGCGGAAAACAGATACAGACAGTTCATTTGGTCTATCCATTATATATTAGATTTATTAACACTCTTTTACCTTTGTTAATTTTCTTCTGATCATTGCTGGTCCTTGTCCTTCAGGATTCAAAAAATGAACCATTTTTAGTAGTATCAATTAACCATCTAGAATTAGGGTACGCCATACTCATTCAAGAAATTGTTAAAGTTTTATGCTGCATACTTGATACTTCTAATGCTGAAATCTTTTACGGAAGGAATGTAAAAATTAAATTTTAAAAACAATTGCAGGTACTTTATGTCTGTTTTAGAGTTTTAATGGTGAGCATTCAGTAGACAGAGATCCTGTTTGGCGATGAGTTGTTAAATGTTTGCCTTAGCTGTTTGGTTAGATGTTTGTGTTAGCTCTTAAGGAACAAAGACCTGTTGGGGGTCTTGTGTACTCCCTCCGTCTCGCAATATTCATCCAGCATTCCTTTTTTGGCCAACAGTATTCGTCCACTTTCCTTTTATGGTAACAAAATGAGCATTAAATGTCCATTTTTCCCTTTGGCTGTCCATTTTCCTCCATAGATTATCATTGCCCAAATTATCATCACCGAAATCAGATTATCATCGCCCAACTTTCCCAGGTTTATTCCCTTGCTCTAACTTCCCAGATTATCATTGCCCAAATCAGAACCCTGCAAATTGAAGTTTGTTTCAATTTCTTTGGATCATCAATCTCAGCTCTGATATCTTAAGTCATAGAGAAAAGAAGAGCAATTTGAAGATTCTTTAGTTCTGCAATGGCCGTTGCAGTGGGAATGGTGGGGATTTAATTTCATCTTTCAACCATATCTACTTCATCCGCTTCCTCTGGATATCGAATTTGATTCATCTTCTTCCATCTTTCAAAAACCAGATCTAAGATAGATGAGAGTTTGGATGTCATCTATTTTCTTTTTACGTTAAACTAAAGAACGGTGGAGGGTGTTAGATCTAAGATAGATTGGAGTATGAATTTTTTAATTTTTGCTCTCATCTATTGGGTTATTTAAGAGACAGATGGTGGAGGACGATATTGGGTTAGGCAGTGGCAAGTTGTGTGGCAACTCGATGGTGGATGGAGTTCGATGGGTTGTGCGGCAGCGGCAGAGGAGCTCCAGGCCAATGGATGGTAGAGGAGTGGAGTTGTCCCACAGCAGGCTAGGCAGAGGGCGGTGGATGATGGGGATGGGTTGTACGGCAGTGGCGGGTGGGTGGATGGTGGAGGATGTCGGGTGGGTGGTGCGGCAGTGGGCTGGAGAGCGAATGGTAGGAGGAAGCAAGGGTTTCTGTTTTTCCAAGGGTAATTAAGTCATTTTACCTATTACCTTGGTTTTTGGTCCATAACGAAAGTGGACGAATACTGCGGGACAGAGGAAGTCAAAAATTTTAGACCAAAAAGGCTATCTCCAAAAGGCTTGAAAGCACGCGTCTTGTAAATTACAGAGTAGTTTTTATGGGACCAAAAAACTATCCCAAAAAAGTTGTTTTTCGTACACTTGTAATACGGAGTAATTGCTTGACCACAGAAAAGCATCTCATCTACCTCAAAATGATTTTTTTATTTACAAACACTTCTCCAATAATCTAGTTGTCAAACACCCTCAAAGGAGTCCACTAAATCTGTTCGTAAAGTAAGTTTCTTTGTTAAATGTGTCGAAATATTAGGATGAAGGATAATGATCATTTTACAACTCATTCCCAGTTTCCCACAGACACAACTATCCCAACACCTTTTGTCCACCTTCATACTCGCTTTACAACACCTTGATGACACCTTTCTAAGATCACATTTACTAGTGTGTTGTTTTCATTATACTAGTTTCTATTGTCGTGTTTCCACAATCTTGTGAGTGACAGCCTACTGACGCCACTCGCTAGCATTGTATTCTAAAATATTTCAAAAAATGGTTAGTTAAATTGCAGTTGCATTTAAAAGCTTTAACTTTGAAGGCTTAAGGTAGTTGGGTAGTCGTGTTGGGCCTTGGTGATAGTTTTGCTCTTGTTGTTGTGTGCCTTCTTTGCTTATGTGTTCATTCTCTGTGCCTATGTGATGCTCGACCCGGGGTCTCTTGGAAAAGAATTCCCATCCCTGTGATTTTTTTGAGTATCAAGGATCATGAATCGTTGGGTATGGACTTCCAGACGAGCAATCGGGTTAAAAAGGCTACAGGTTTTTGGGTATGCATTCCACATAGACAATTGGGCTAAAGACTAGGGCTTGTAGGAATGAATGTCTAGACAGGACAACTTGATCAACGGGTGGGCCAAAACCTTTTCCAATACCGTGATAGAATTTAGGATGAGGTAAGTGTCACTAGACTGACCATAAGACACTTTGGGTCTTGGGCTGAACCACATTAAAAGATTGAATCTAATTGATTACTTAGTTTAACTCAAGAGCTTTTGTACCCATCATTTCTTCTCAATTTTCCGATGTGGGATAATATTTGGTTCATGTCCATTCGAATGACGAGTTGTGATAAGCTCATAAGCCTAATTATATGTGCTACCAAGCATGTACTTGTTTTCTGTACTTTGTAATGCCCCATTGGTGCTTAGAGTGTGTTTTTTGCAACTTATTCTTATTTGTATCAGATATGGCCAGACTAGATTAGACCAGACCGGAAACAACTTTAAATATGACTAGAATCAAATCATACCAAATCAGATTTTAATTAAACCAGAACATATCAAGAGAACATGCTCTTAAGTGTTAAAATTTGGGTTGATCTATTCAATTAAGTTAATTACTGCCTTGAAGATGACATTCGCTCTCAAGCCTTTTATAACAGTTACTTCTCCAAGCTCTAATGTTCACATCAAATAGTTAGGAGAAAATAATGTGTTTGTGTGTGTTGCTAATCGCCTTCTAAATGTTTCTTGATTTATCACCATTTAACTATTGTAGGGAGGCTACTAACTGCACTCATATGTGAATATTTGGACTGGGCACAACTAAACCATACATCAAAAGTTTACTTGCCCGAGTGTAATTTGGTAATCATGCATTGTGTTCCCTTCTGGTATCAATTTTTCCTTATCAAATTAATTCAGTCACTTTGATTGATTTCTAATACTCTTTGCTTTTGCTTTTGCTTTTGTATTTGGGGCATGCTACGCTGCAGCCAAAGGATTTCTGGAAATCTGAGTTGAAAGAATTCAGTAATAAGAACGGGTATGATGTTAATCGGAATGGAGACAGCGGTCCTCTCCTTTTGGATGTCCTTGAAGGATTCTTGAAGTATGAGGTGTGAGATAATCTTTGCTAAATGATCATAGTGCTCATTTACTTGTTTCCATGTTTTCCTTTAGCATTATGGTATGCCTATAGTGTGTTTTTATTATTTCTTGGCCAAGTAGAGCCATAGAGGATCGCTATTTGTCTCTTTGCCTTGATTTCTTCGTTTCACCATGGTTTCAATAACGTTATCTATTTCATTTGTGTTAATGTTAACGAAAAAGTAATGTAGATTCTGAAACTAGGTATGGGTTGGCAGTTTGACATTGCAAACAGAAAATTTACAGAATGAGGGCAAATAAATAAAAATTAAACTAGCCTTTCCTTTGATGGCAACAATGCAAATATACTCTTTAGGGTGTGTTTTTGACGATTCATAACAATTTGTTTACTAAGTATGGTAAGTGGACAATCCATTCCAAATGCCCAAAAAGACTAAACTAGAAGTAAAACATTGAGAAAGTACCGAGATAGGAGCTACAATGCCAATATATTCAACATATAATAACAAAAAACACTATGGAATGCCGATATACAGTACGACATTGTCACATTGCAACCTTCTATTTTGGAAATAAAAACATGGAGCTCCTATTTCGGAGATTAGGGTTATATTTTACTCCTATTTTGGACGATTTCTTAGAAAAGAAAAGTGGACAACTGAATTTGGACAGAGGGAGCAAATAGAGTACTTTAGCAATATGATGCTTTCTTTCATTGGATCCCGATTGCGCATCATTTTTTATTATTGCAGAATTTATCTCAAGCAAGGAGTGGTGGAAGGAGACTACCCACACTAGATGGCGAAGCATTGCCCAGTTTAGAAACACGGAATGTTAGGAGGCCTTCATCTATTGCCGGGGGCCTACCTCCATTGGGAAGGTTTATTATTATTATTACTAACAGAACCCCATTTCCCCCTTTAATCCGGTTTCAGTTTTCAGATATGTGACTTTTTGAGTTATGTAAATATTTGCAGGCCAGTTCCTTCTTCTCAAGCATCTGGTAAGCACAGCTTGTTACCCTTTACTGTTTGTCCGCGGATTTCATGTTTTGAAAATGACTTTGCTTGTGTGATTAGTTGGGGGGTTGTATGTAGACAGGAGAGCAGGGTCGTCATCAATGTCGGGTTACAGCAGGAAAGATGAATACAATTGGAGATATGACAGTGATGAGGATACAGAAGACGTCATGCGTGCTTCAGCTGCCTTAGAAAACCTTCAACTAGATAGAAAAGCTCGGAATCTCACCAGCTCTTGGCGGTTCGTTCAAACCCTCTTATAAATTACATTATTTTTTTTTTTGAGAATGTGCATCACCAGTAATTAATAAGTGCTATATATACTACTCCCTCCGTCCGAGAGTGTTTGTTCATTTTTGACTTTTTGCGATCAACTAAGATCGACATTTGACATATAATCAAATAAAGATTACATGATATATTAACTAGATAATACAATATTTTGAAAATATTTAACAAGATAAATCTAATGAAATTATTCTTGTATCAATATCTAATACTACGCATAAGTTTTATTTAATTAATAGTCAAAGTTTATCTATTTTGACTGCAAAAAGTCGGGAAAATACTCTGGGACAGAGATAGTAAACACTAAACCCAAACAACAACACCCAAACCCAGTAAACCTTACCCCTACATGGGAGTGGAGGGACTCAAGGCCTGTCATGAGGATTCAAGTTCTCAGGACGAGACAGAAAAAAGGTCCCTCAAGCCCTAACAAATTCAAAAATAATGACTTTATTCACGGGATATGGTCGCAGGCATGCGGGGAATGGTGTTTCGGAGTCTGATGGAAGGATGGATTAGTAGAGAAGCCCCCTCCCCAGCTAAAACGGCTTTTATATCGTCTGTCTTTCCTCAGTTCTTCTTCATTATACTAATTGTTATGAATGTGTGTGTTCCTGTGATGTGTGATTAGATTATGCTGTCTGTGTATGGGTATGAATCCTTGTTTTTTTTTTTTTTTTTGGCTGGCGTGATTCTTTCTCTATATGTACTATAGAGTTCCCACTATTTTCCTTGCCTTTCTTCGATGGCTTCAAATGTGAGCGTGTGCAATGTGCAAAAAGTGTTGCTCTCCCTTCTTTCACATAACCTTAACTTTTCACATTACCCTCCTTTGACTTTTCTTTTTCTATTTAAAGTCCAATTTACATTCTGACCGTCTGGCCGGGTCTAAGGGGGCTATCAGGAAGCTCATCCTTTTTTTAATTAAAAATGATGAATAGTATAAAATAAATGGAGAGACGGGATAAGACGGTGGTAGCATTATACTCCCTCCATCCCCCAATTTTTGTCCACTTTTGACTTTTGGAACTGTTCATCTAAGTACTTTGACTCATCAAATTCTTTCAATGTGTAAGTCTAAATATAGTCATGTATGATCTTGTTTGATTTGTCTTAACATATAGATTATTAATATATAATTTCTATAATTTTTTAATATACAAATTACAAGATAAAATGGATTAAAGAAGTGCATTGGATGGTGTGTAAAAATGAAAGTGAACAAATACTCTGGAACGGAGGGAGTATGTGTTTTGGTCTGATGTAGAAAAAGAAAAAAAATGTAGTGGGAGAGAGACCGGCCCATTGTAAATCCCCAAAGCCCAAAACCTCAAACCTTTAAGAGTAAACATTTTTTTTATCTATTAGGATGATGCCATGCTTGAACACAACTTTTTTTTGTGTTGGCATGCGTAGAGTAGAAACAATGGCTCTTCCCTTATTGTTTATGGTGTTTTAAGTATTTTTGTAGTCTTTGGGCAATGTTGGGAGTACATCAAATGTCGCCGCATGTAGATATTAAATGTCGGCGCACACACATAATTTGTTTCATGTTATCGTATTGTTTGGCTTTTCTAAGATATTCTAATTCAATACTTATCGTTTTCAAGACTTCACATGTCTAAAAGTTAGTTACTACCTCATACGGAGTATTAACTTTTGGCTTTTTTGATCAAAATTGACAAAATTCGTTGATAAATAAAATAAAAGTGACATTAAAAATTTATGTCAAAATAATACTCCCTCTGTCCCGCTATATTCGTCCACTTTTGACTTTTAGAACTGTTCATCTAAACACTTTGACTTATCAAATTTTCTCAATGTGTAAGCTTAAATATAGTCATGCGTGATCTTGTTTGATTTGTCTTAACATATAGATTATTAATATATAATTTTTATAATTTTTTAATATACAAATTACAAGATAAAATGGATTAAAGAAGTGTATTGGATGGTGTGCAAAAATGAAAGTGGACAAATATAGTGGACGGAGGGAGTAATATTAGATCTATTTTATAAAATATTTTTCAAAATATTAATTTATCTAAATAATATACCATATATTTTATTCAACTATATGTAGGTCATAAATTGAAAATAGTTAATTATAAAAAGTCAAAATTGAACAAATATTCATGAACGAAGATAGTAGTATAAAAGCCGAACTGTTCCAACCCATGTCTATTGCCAAGTGCCAACGGGAATGAGAATGTATATTGTACTACTCATCGAATGTTGTCGAGCTTGGACACCCGACGAATATTAGTTCTGAATCAATAGAATGTTCATTTTTAACCTTGTTGGGTGAAGAAAACAAATATGGATTTCAATATGGGAGATATCAATTTCCAAAAAAGTGTGTTCGGTAAATATAAAAAGAATTCAGAATTCATATCTTCAAATACAGAATCCTTGGAAAGAATCCGCTACTTCAAATCAGCCTAATATTGTCGAATTCAACCTCATTTTCTGTATTTAGCGTTTGTGTCCACACCACTTCTTTGCTTTTTTGTTTTGTTGTAATTTTAAATGTTGTGATTTATTTTATTTTTTTCTCCTAAAAATAATATTATCCAAAATATTTTTCTCTTGTCAAGAACGATTTTAATCATTTTATTTCCAGTAATTAATATTTTTTAAATATTTTATTTGATATTTTTTTTAATCTCTCTAAAGTTAAAATAAACTTTTTTGGATAGGGATGAAGTGAGTATATGATTTTATATCGCAGAACTTGCTTTGTGATTGTTTAGTAAAAATAATTGTAACTGTGATTTAATTTTTATAACTATTTTTTCCAAATAACTTTTCATTCAAATTTCCAAATCTATATAATTTCTCTGAGGTTTCAGAATCCATATTTTATCATATATATATATATAAAATAAACTCAACAAACGAGCCCTTAGTGTTTATTTTGAAGTTTGTTTAGCATAGTATTAAGTCTGAAACATCATGCTTATTCTAAAACACTGCATTGCTCATTCTAAAACAATGTACTCCCTTCATTTGAAAATGATCCTTCACTTGACTTTTCATGGTCAAAGTTTATAAACTTTGACTACAATATGCAGAAAAATATGTTGTTTTATGAGAGTATAAATTTTAAATCAATATAGTTTTATTAAAATGTAGTTTTGAAATATCAAAGTTTTATAAAATATATCTATTTATAAATATAGAAATTAATGATTAAAAAGTAGTATTGAAAACTATAAAAAATTAAATGAATAGAATATTTCCGAGCAAAGGGAAAATATACTACGGAGTAATATATATTTTGAAATATCTATTTAATTCTAAATTTAGCTAGAGAAAGGTACATGTTGCTATAGGAATTGGGTGGGGACCCGAGTGTTGATAACTTGTGGTCGTTAGTTTTCAATAGGGTAGATTGCCCGCTGGAAAGACGTGGTCGGTTGAAAGTTGTTCCGTCACTTCCGTGTTGGTCATTTGCTCGCGCAGTTTCTCAAGCATGGCGGTTCTGAGCAGATCGGTGGCGCCGTTCCGACGGAGCTGCGTGGGTTCGATCCGCCGATTTTGTTCAGGTGCAGACTCGAAACTGGCAGCTGCTCTACGGACCGGGAAGCCCGTCGAGGGAAGGAATGTCCAGTGGGTGTTTCTCGGCTGCCCCGGCGTCGGCAAGGGCACCTATGCCGCTCGCCTCTCGAATCTTCTCGGCGTTCCTCATATCTCCACCGGAGATCTCGTCCGTCAGGAACTCTCCACCCCTGGCCCTCTCTCCTCCCAGGTCAAGCTTACCCTCTCCCTGATTTCAACAGCTCAATTACTAGTTCCTTCCTGTACATTTTCCAAATTACTTTAGTTAAAATAACAAGAGTCCTTTCCATGGAAACAATTCCAATATGGCATGCTTTTTAGGTGATATATTTTATAATCACAACTATTTGTTTACTGAAATATTGTAAGTGGACGTTTGATTCCGGACTTTCCTAAAAGGGGAAGTGTGAAACTAAATCCGGATGGAGGGATAGTATACTTATTCAACATTTAAATACGGTGTAACAATTTAAATTTCAAAATCCATCATCTGAAGCGAACAATCATAACTTTGAACTAGAAAGTAGCTTATAAAGTTTGGGTATTGGGATGGTTAAAATTCCTATTTTTATCTTGTCAATGGACATTATTGGTTAGGATCATTTTTTTAAATTTGAGGCTCTACATTAAGTTTGCATATATCGGTTAGGCTCTTCAGCTATAACTCATTTTCTTTTGGATTAATTTTCTGTTTTGCAGCTGGCAGAGATTGTTAAGCAAGGGAAACTAATTACTGATGAAATCATAATAGATTTACTATCAAAGCGGCTTGAGGCTGGTGAATCTAAGGGTGAAACAGGTTTCATTCTTGATGGATTTCCTCGAACTATAAGACAGGCGGTGAGCAGTATTTTTTCAGTAATTGCTTAAATACTAGGTTACCTAGCATATGCAACATCTAGCTTGAGTTTTTAAGTTGTACAAATACATATGTACTCTATAGTATTATTTAAGCCAAACCGCACATACCCAAATTGGCCGATTATTCCACTCGGAAGTAGGGTTGGGGAGGGGGGGGGGATGATGTACTGTGTGCAGACCTTACCTCTATCTCAAGGGGTAGAGTAGTAGAACGTAATGTAAACACACTTATGTAGTATCTCTCTTGTTTAATTGTGTATGACACTATTTATTCTGATTAGGGACTCTCAATTGCACAACAATAAATTTTACTAGACTCACTTTTAGTTACTCCAAGTATTTGTGGAGAAAAGCACACATGTGCACGCTTATGTATGTGTGGTGGTGCGTGTATGTGTGTGTGTGTGCAGTGTGCACACATATATTATCATTATTGGAACTTTGAAGAATCTTTTTTATAGCTAATTCTTTGAAACTAGCAAAGTTTGAATTTTGTAGTAGTATAACATATTGTACACGGATGTTTCTACAGATTGCACAATTGTTGTAAAACTAAGGTAACATTTCTGCACTGATGAAACATAATGTAAAAAAGATCAGAGTGTTCTCTTTTCCTGACTTTTTTTTTTATTTGGCTGTCATACAAATATACAATGTATTTTGTCTCATTTTAGTTCTTGGTGACACTAGTTATCTCTGATTCCAACGATAAGTACACATTTATATGAAAGCATTAGGATCATGAGAATAATTGTTCTCAGTGGTCAAACCTGGGAGGCAACAACAGCAGTACACTAACACTGATATTTTGTTTAATCTCACAGAAATGACAGTCAATTTCTAACATCCGTTATGCATTTCATTCCTGTTTATTTCATAACCTGCCTTTGTCTTTATCCATTGCTCACCCCCTTCCGGCTTTCGTTGTTCTTTCAAACAAACTTCCAGTCAAAAGTTTTAATCTTGTTTCTGATTGAACCTGATGTTCCAATTTAATCTCTAACACAAGTACTACGTAATACGTTCTTGCACAATGCATCTTAAATCTTTTGCATCTGTACACTCACTGTCTGTGCTGCAATCAAACCCCTTTTCTGGAGGCTCCAAGATGTTGACACCTGTCATCATATTGTACGTCCAACTCCAAGCCGATCACTAGCACATATGTAAGTGGTCCATTGCTGCTTATCTGCTTTCCTCCGTGTATTTCTATGTGCTCTACTAAATTTATGTGGCTGGTTTTATTTTCCGTTTTCCCCCTAGCCCGTCATCGATATATTCTCTGCCTGTTAAAAGAAATTAACGATCTCTTTTTTACTTTTCTAAAAAAAGGAAATTTTAGAGGGTGTAACAGACATTGACTTGGTCATCAATCTGAAGCTTCGGGAAGAGGCATTAATTGCCAAATGTCTTGGGAGAAGAATGTGCAGCGAGTGTGGAGGGAATTACAATGTTGCGTGCATTGATATCAAGGGCAAACATGGAAGCCCCGGAATGTACATGCCTCCTCTTCTTCCCCCTCCCCATTGTGAATCGAAACTGATTATGCGAGCTGATGACACCGAAGATGTTGTGAAGGAGCGCCTTCGCATCTACAATGAATTGGTATTACTTGCCTTTATGCTAATGCTTTTTTTTTTTGAACACTAATAACTCTATTACAATGTAGTATCTGTTTGTACATTCTCAATCTATTAAGCACGTAAAGTTATTGTCCCCACTGGGATTCAAACATATGACCTTCCATGAGAGGGTCACCATGCCGTTTGACCTTAGCATCAATAGCAACATTTCAATACAATGGAGTATATAATACTAGTATATAAAAAACAACACAATGAAGTGTATAATGGGATAAAGGTGCAATAATATTTTAAAAAACACTGGTTATTTCCATGGTGGATTTATCCGTTCATCAGAAATGCCAAACATTTCTTGATTGGACTAAAAATGCACTTCTTTGTGCTGCATTTGTCCCGTTAAATTTTCACATTTTTCTTTTTTTTAATATTTGGGTCCTGCAGAGCCGACCAGTTGAGGAGTTTTACCGAAGTCGAGGGAAATTGTTGGAGTTTGATCTTCCTGGGGGGATACCGGAGTCGTGGCCAAAGCTGCTACAAGCCTTAAGTCTTGTTGTTCATGAAGACGATACGAAGTCTGCAGCAGCTTAAGTTCTGCTCTTGTGTGTAAACATTATCTTTACATATTTTGTCTATCTCATAATCATTCTTTGCATTTTCCATGGACGTGAAGCAATATAAATCCATTTAATTTCCTTTTGAATGCACTTTTTAAATGGAAGTAATAAAATAATTGATTACAACAATGACATAATTTAGAATGTATACCAGAAAGTAAATATCTTTAACTTTATTCAATCACGAATCTTCCTGAGTCTTTATGCGTCGTATGTCGTCCCTCCACGGGTTTTGGTTTCGTCACCTATGCATTGTTTAGAAAAATGATTAGATGCTCAAAATTGTGCTTTTGCATTTACAAAATTATATTTTGTTGCTTTTGTATTTTTTTAAATGCATTTAAGATTCACTTTAGTGACTATTATATTTTTTGATGGCATTCATGGAACATCTTGGGTCAAACAATTCAAGAATTTCTCCACATACTCGCCCCATAATGTGCAAGCTAAACGGTTGCCTCTGCATTTTTTCATTTACTTAATATTTTTATAAGAAATACCCGGAGTAGCTCTTATGTGTCATTTATAAATATGTTCTCATACTTATGATCTTCAAGTGTTATTTCCATTAGCTTCTCTTCTCCACCTCGTTTAAAGTATGTTTGAACTTTTGATCGCCCAACAATTTTTCCTATGACATCTGCACCGGCCAAAAAAATTAATCAAAATTTTTATTTGACTGCAAATTTGCGAAAGGAAAATATCTTCAAAAAAATATTTTGAATGCATTTTTAAAATGCACAAATGTTTATTTCGAAGCAGAAAGTGCGAAAATAGTGAATTTGGGAAAATCTTTTTCACTAAGCGTCTTCACTTCTGTCTTTGGATAAAAAACCAACAAAGACTTATGCGAAGTTGTTTTGCATGAAAGGTAATTATCATGAACAAAAACATTTCGGATTCCAAAGACGCCATCTTCAACAATTTGGTTTTCAAAACGTTTCTTTTCGGGACTCTTAAGATGAGCATGAATCCTCGTCCCCTGCATAAAAAAAAAGAAAATATTTAGAAATGAGTTTCGAAGAATGTAAATATTGTGTAAGAAACTATACTAAGAAATTACGCCTTCGTCGTGGAAGATGACTTCCATGGAATCTTCGCCCTTAGACCAAGCCGGAACATGGTAAACGCGGATCGCTCGTAACTTAAGCATCCATGCCGTTTTTTTGTTATCAATTTTGTCAAGCATGTGCCACATTTCGTTTATAGGCTTTTTGTACATCTTGGTATTCTTGTTGGTATGAAAGTTTTGTGGGTGATGGAGAATTTGGCCGTTGGTTTGGTTAAATAATGTTTTTGGATTGGTGGGAGAATCTTTTGCATTTAATGCCCATGTACCATAAGATTTTTTTCAAATCCAAAGCATTAAATGGCCATCAGGAAATTGGGCTCCTAAAAGTGCTTTTCAGCCGTGTAAATACAGTGCTCACACTCTCCAAAGTTTTTTTCATCATTACCTACGCCGCCCTATGCAAAACAACTGCCCTATGTTAAAAGCTAGCATTTTAAAACAGCCTGGCGCCACCCATTTGCAGCCCAATATCTAAATTCAGGCCCACCATACAATCCAGCCCAGATAGCCCATACCCGGCCCAATAACTTTAGGCGGGAACACTGTTCATTTTGGCCTCCAACCATTGTATATATGGAGATGGAGATTCTCTCACTTTTTTTTTCTTCTCTAACCAAATATAAAAAATTGATATAAGTCGCTTTTTTTCTTTTTTCTTTCAAACTCCTTACACTAAATACAAAGTATAGAGCTTGTTTTTTACGTCTGATCTGATTAAATTTGATCTAATTTTATTATAGTCTGATCTGATTAAATTTGATCTAATTTTCTTGTAGTCTGATATGATTGTAGTTATATTTAAAGTTATATCTGATCAGATTTAATTTGATCAACTCTGATTTTAATAAAAATAATTAATACTCCCTCTTTGAAAAAAACGTTTCACATCCTTTTTCTTGCATCATACAAAACACTTTTACCTATCAAAAATAGCTCAAAAATAAGTTAATACTGCAATAAAAGAAGTATTTATTTTAGATATTTTAAGTGAGAGAAAATATTTTGTGAGATATGCAAAAATTGAAGATAAAACTATTGTTTAAAAGGGAGAATTAGACCCAATTGACATCAGCGCCGGAAGTTAGTGTTAGATTTTCAAAATGCTATCAGACGGTAGTTTTTAGCGTTAGCGTTTCTAAAAATAATTGATACCATTAAATTTTTATCCAAAACGCTAATACTAATCGAAAATAAATTTCTAGGCTGAGTATATTATACGGTGAAATCCCCAGGTTTTACCGAGGTTATCCCTGGACGCGGTGCAGAACAGGATTGGTCAAAGCTCAAGCCCACAGAAGATCCCTCCCTCCCTCCGCCCAGGACCACTGAGAGCCCGTTTTTAGATACACTCCACTTGGCATCCGGTTCTACTTACGTGGCATAATTAGCCGCTCCCACATTGTCCACGTCATCACCACCAGATCTGGAATAAAATAATATCTCTGGCTGGTACGCATCCATTTCACTCTCCCCAACTTCGCCCCCTCCTTTAAATCTCTCTCTCTCTCTTCGATCCCCTACCTCTTTTCCGAGCGACACTGGCTTTCTCCCCGTCTCAGGCGACGATTCCGGCGAAAAGGTACGAAGAACACTCACCGCCTTCTACGTGCTTTGCGGCCTGCGCCTCATTTTTTCCGAGCCTCTTCTGAATCGTCTCTGTGATACCCTAAGTACGATCATTGTAATAAGTGTTTTTTAATCTCAAAATTCTCTTCAACGTTCGATTATCTCCGGTGATTTTCCGTTCATGTTTGATTTTGTGTTTATTGCGTACCTGCTTCGAAGCCTTCACCTAGTGAGTGTGTTGTTTGTAGAAATTATCCCGGTTCCAAATGATTTCAGACAGTATTTTGTAATCATGTTGGACGATTGACTTGTGTTGTCACTGTACCTAATATTCATGTGTTTTTTTGGCTATGGATTGTTTTAAAGCAGTTTATATATGCCATGACCTGTGAATACTTTGCGATTCATGAAACTTTGATCATTGGTGCCTATAAAATCGTGCTTTCACTAGTGACTTGTTTCATATGAATAGGTGATCAATTGAAAAGTCTTATGTTGTTTTTATTGTTGCAGGCTTCGTCCGGGAGCTGGTTAATAGAAAGGTAGTCTGATCATCTTGTTTACAATGGTATATTACATTTCGGGATTCTGAAGTAGTTTGGTATTCAAGGAAACAGAATGATCAATTTAAGCATTTGTGTGATTTAACAAGAAGAATGAACCATTAGAGGAATATCTGATAAATTTGTATTTCTTTCTAAATTCAAGGGCTTTCTTGCCAACTAAATCTGGAGCCTTATACATCAATCATCTTTTTGAATCTGATTGATGACGGGAGTTTGGGCGGATGGAAATGTTTCTGCTGTTAAAGGGTTGACAATACACAATCACCATGGCAAGCAAATTCAGCAGAATGGAGTAAAAGATGGAGTTAATGGTGGCAGACACATGCTTTGTGAGGAGCAGAAGTCAAAGTTTAACGAAGGTGCTGATGATAAGAATGGTGCACACAGAGGTTTAGTACATGTGCAGGCTGTTCTTCATACACCGCAGCAACAAGCTCAGCCCTGCACTGTTCGCTGGGAGCGTTTTCTTCCTCTTAGATCCATCAAGGTTTTGCTTGTGGAGAATGATGAATGCACTCGTCATGTTGTCAGTGCACTGCTTCGAAACTGCAGCTATGAAGGTTGGTTCTTTTTAATTCTTTTTGCTTTCTTGATTGTAATTTATAGCAAGATGTAGTGTAGATTTTTTTGCCAATTTTTCCTGGAAATCATATTCTGGATTTTTTGTTTTTGACACACTACAAACATTTTCCTGGATCCCGATTACTTTTTTTTTTGTTTGAAAAATGCTTCCTGTCACTGATGAAACAGTTGTGTGTTTTCTATTTTTTTGTGCTATACATCATACTATACCCAGAGAAAGTTATTTTCATGAAAGTAAAGACAATATCCACGGAAAACATGTTCATACTCTTCCTGCCTCAATGTTATTTGAACTCTTGTTTATCTTTTTCCCTTTTAATGTCTTTTTCTGCAACACTGCAAGCCGTGATACTTCCTGTTCGAGGACAATTCACAACCCCCAGCAGCTCATTGCGTCAGGCCTATCAGATAGTGCACCTTGGTCTGAGACAGTAATCCAGCTTACTTCCTGTTGGACATTGCATTCAACTGAATCAAGTACTTGGACATTATGAATTTGGGTAACCATGTTGATCAAATATCTGGACATTGGAAGGCTCTGTTATCTACTGATTGAATATGCAAAACTCGCGCAAGAGGGTTCCTCTGAAAGCGGTTTTGGAAAGTTTAGAATATTTGATGTTGTATTGGCTTGGCAGAGTAACTGTCAAGCCAACCCCTCACAGAGGGAACCACATCGTTATGTATATATGCCCACACTTAGCATTTTGTTTTTTTATTTTGGAGGGATGACACAAAGCCTTACAGGCTCTTCTATACACACTCATTTCACATCTTTGTGTTTCTCATATATGGAACTTGGATACCTATCGTCGCTAGTGCTCAGTGCATTTGGAGAACCTTTTAGTTCAAGACATACACATCCATATGCAGTAAAAAAGGTATGGATGCTAGAAGCAAATATAAATGATGTTGCTAAGCCTCCTCATTTGGTTGGAGAACAGCTTATCAATCCGTACACCTTTAGGATGCAATTTTCAGAAACATTCATCTACATGTCCACCCTCAATAGTTGGACATGTAACACTCTAAATGAGTGGAAGTAATTCAATCTTAACACAATAACCTAAAGTCTGATTTGGTGTGATCTGTTTTGTACCTCCATTCTTATTTATGTTATTTCTTCATCCTTGAACTTGTCTTTTAAAAAATGGATAGCGTACAAATTATGCTCGAGTGAAGTAGCATCACAAAAACAACAATTGTTGTTAACAGAAGAAATATGTTGTTTCTTCTAATATTTGATTTTTTTAGTAATCATCCTAGAAAAAGGCAATTACTAATAATGCTTTAGCTTTGGGTCAATAGTGGACGAAATCCAAATCCAAATGACACGTTAAATTTCCTATGGCTCTTTCTATAAAGTTGGGGTAGTAGTAGTTAATGCTAGAGTGTATCACATGTTTAATGCAAATAATCCCTCTGAATTTTTTCAAGGGTAGGTTGGGCACATCTTGACCCCCAGACCCCTAAAGAGTTGATTATATGGGTTGTTCATTGTAGAAAATTGCTACAACAACAACATTATCCCAATGCCTCAAAGGCTTTGTTCTTATTGAATGCAAACGGAAAGATTTTCGTATTTTTATCTAGACTGCCAATTTTTGCTAAAGCATTCTAACATCATGTTTCTTCATTCTCAAGTCTCAAGTAACATCTTGAATTGGATTGTGCAGTTATGGCTGTAGAAAATGGAGTTGATGCATGGAAAGTTTTAGATGATTTAACCAATCACATAGATCTTATTTTAACCGAAGTAACTATGCCATATTTGTCAGGCATTGGCCTGTTATCAAAGGTTATGAACCACAGAACTCACAAAAGTGTACCTGTGATCAGTAAGTTTTCTTCCTATTTCATGGTTGTTTTTTATGGACCAGAGCTAACTTTTACCATGCTTTTTAGCTGCAAAACTGATGACAAAATGTAATTCATATGCAGTGATGTCATCAAATGATTCTATGGGAATAGTCTTCAAGTGTTTGTCAAAGGGTGCAGTGGACTTTTTAGTGAAGCCTATTAGGAAGAATGAGCTTAAAAATCTCTGGCAACATGTTTGGAGGAAATGTCACAGTGTAAGTTACATTTTACCCTTTTTTTCATATACTCCCTTTCGGTATCAAATTATATTAGCCATTATGTTTTTTTAATTTTCTCATCCTTCATTCTCAGTCAGGTGGTAGTGGGAGTGAAAGTGGGATACGCATAGAAAAGTCCACAAAAGCGAAAAATATTGAAGGTGTAGAAGATAGCAGTGATGGCAATGATGACAATGCAAGTGATAATGGAAGTGGCACTCAGGTACTTCTAAGATCTTTGTCTTTACTGGTCCTCTTTACGCGTGCAGGTACTATGCAACCATGTATTTGATCCTTTTATGAAATACTCATTTCGTCAGTGTATTTGTCTATTATTCGGTTTTGGATTGTCCCTGTGTTTTTATCCACTTTCCATTCATATTGCAGTTATATTCTATTTCCTTGCCTTATTTTTAAGGGAATTGTTTTTCAATCAATGAAGTATTTGATGTTCTTTTCCATTATTTGGCCCTACAATATTGTGCCATTATCTATCTTCTAAAAGTATTCATTCATGAGGCATATTGAATGAGTCATCATAATATCATAATATTGTTTAAAAAATCCAATAAAATTAACCATGTTCCTTAGTATGTGTAACTTATTTCCTGAATTATGTGTATGACTACCGTTTATTTAGCTGTGACCTAGCATGCAACACGTTAGTTTTACAACAACAAACCTGGTACGCCAATATAATGTGAAAGCTCAAATAAGAAGACAACATGAAACACCCAAATAATTGGAAAAATAACTGTTTGAGTTCACATCAAAAAATAAAGAAGAACATCACTAGCATATATAGAATTATAGAAATTCGCCCTACCCATCAGCTTAAGCTTTTAGATTAGAAAGTGGGTCCTGGCTTTACATGCAAGTTGTTAATTTTACACAACACTCTTGCCCGTTTTTCTCAACCCATCGCAATTTTAACATGGTATCAGAGCAGGTTCGATCCGGATTCGATTGTTTCTGGTTGTTTGGACGTGGGTTTAGCAATATGAGCTACCCGTCCGTGGTATGGATTGAGTTGGCTATAAGAGATTGAGATGCTACTGCCCGTTGTGTGAGCTAGCTATAAGAGATTGAGATACTAGATCCTTTTGTTCGAGTGCTAACTATGCCAAGCTAGTTATCACTTGAGGGGGAGTCTCCGAGTTTCCACATTAGAAAATAAAGAAGAACACCACTAGCATATATAAAAGGGTGAAGCCCTCTACCTATCAACTTAAACTTTTAGGTTAGAAAGTGGATCCCAACTTTTTTACCCAACACTTTGTCCATTGTTTTTGGCCAACCGAAATTTTAACAATAGCTAATAAAAACAAACAAAAGTTAGCATCAAGGTCAAAATAAAAAATTACTTCCTTTGTCCCACAATAATGTTCCACTATTGACCGGGCACAAAGATTAACTACAACAACCTAGTTGGATTCCACGATAGTAGGGTGTGATGAGGGTGTGAACGCAAACCTTGCCTCTACTCAAAAGTAGAGAGGTTGTTCCCAAGAGTGGAAAGTGGTGGTGAGGAGAGACAAATAAGAAAAGACAAAAATTTCAAAAGCGCAACGTGAAATCTTTTTGTGGGACGCACAAAAAAAACGTGGAACTTTATTATGGGACCCAAGGAGTATATTTTATAATCTCTATGTTCGGATTTACTTGTCCATTTTTCATATTCAATTAAAAATTATTATGTTTGGCTAAAATTTCTTAGAGATCAGGTATATGTATTGTTAACATGAATGTGACCCATCATAAGGATTTGCATGGCATTTCAAGCTCTTTGCTTAAAAATAAGATTTTTTTAAAGAAAGTTAACAACTAATTCCGGATGGAGGGAGTATATTTATAATCCCAATAATTGGATCCATTGTTTGAAAAGGCGTATAGCGGGTTTGAGGTGTTTTTCCCATGGCTTATTGTGTGAGCCTTGAGGTAAGCTGAATATTATTAAAAATAAAGATAGAATATTATTAATAGCCTAATTAATCCATACACGTTAAAGAAGTATATTGTTAAAGTAAAGGTACCGGACACAACAGAGTCTACCATGACATAGTACAAACCATTGGTTGTAGGCAACATAAGTTGTCAATGCTGGGTCCAACATTTAAGCAATCTACAAGCACTAAATTAATTAATAGAAAATTAGTAAGAATAAAATATTACTAAAAAAATATAATGAATAAAAACAAATAAAAGAAGGGGATGCTCAAAGGGAGGTCCAAGGTGATGAACGCGTTGAAGACCAAGGGGAGATTGGATGCGTTGATAGATTATGGTTCAGTAATTAACAACAATCCAGTTGGATCCCACGATAGTAGGGTCTATGGAGGGTGTGTACGCAAACCTTTCCTCTACTCGAGAGTAGAGAGGTTATTTCCAAGGCACCCCTGGCTCACGCAGCACCAATAATTTATCACAAAAGTAGAGACTAGAGGTTATTTCCAAGAAACCCCTAGTTCACGTAGAACCAATAATAAAAGATCACAGAGACACATAGAGTTAAAGTTTAGTAATTTATCATTTCAAATTCTCTAATTAAATCACTAATTTAACTTTAATCTTTTTTGAAAAAAAAAGGTGTACGCCTCCTTCTGTCTCATTGTGTGGGCCTCATTGCGTGCTCCTCATAGGGTACGCCTTCTTGCGCCAAAACTGAGAAACCCATATGGCTTATGGCTAGATCACCACAAGGCATTTTTCTCCAAAAATAGACATGAGGCGGGCAATATGGCGAATTGCACAATGACATTTCAAACACAGATATTGATCAAATGTTTCTCGCATAACATAAATAAATAGCAGATCTATAATTCTAGAAGACTAATCATGTGAAAGAAGGATCTTTTGCTTGGAAATGCTTAACAAATATATCCTTCTTACAGATATGCTGTTCTAACATTGATGCTACACTTATTTCTCACAGGGTTCATGGTCAAAACGAGCAATTGAAGTGGAAAGCCCTCAGGCCATGTTGCAATGGGATGAATTAGCTAAACCCATTGACAGCACTTGTGCTCAGGCCATTCATTCAAGACCAGAAGCACAAAGTTCAAATTGGGTTCCTACAAATTCTGGCAGAGAATACCAAGGTGTTAAAGATGAACACGGTACAATAGGTCTTGCTAACTCAATTGCATAATTTGCTTCAGAAAAAAAGACTAATAAATAAAATCCCACTTTATTGTGTTTGTGTGTGGCTGTGTGTCCTAAATATTTACACCTTTTGTTTTCTGATCTGAATATGTTTATGATTTTGTTTGCAAATCAAAGTAGGAAATGCCTCAATGGGCAAGGATCTGCAGATAGGAGTAGCAAGCACTCCAAACTTGCAGATTAATGCTGAAGAAGGGTCAAAAGATGAAGAGACATTGATTGGAAAGCTAGAGGAGCTGAACACCGCTCAAAAGAGTGAGTTAAGAGGCGAGGATACTGCCAATGGTGTTCTGACCAAAGAAACAGGAACTTATGATAACACGACGACAAAAGAGATGCCCTCACTTGAACTCAGTTTGATGCAACACAGAGAAGTTGGAGACAGTGGGACCACGATGCAAGAACGCAATATACTGAGGCACTCGGGCCAATCAGCATTCTCAAGGCATGGGTTTTTTATTTAACTAGTCTAAGAGAGCATTTGAAATGTCTTGTTTCAAGCAACAAGTGCTTGTTATAGGAAGAACTGTACTTCTACTTAAAAAAGAGGAGTACGGAAGGGAAACAGAAAATGTTCTTTTAACAGAAAGAAGCGCTTTTAAATGATTGTTTTAATGTTGAAAAAGCACTTATACCCTAAGTGCTTAACTACATTAATTGAGCCGTGTGATCATCTATCACCATTTCCGTGCGCAGGTATGGTGGTGGTACTACTGCTACAACTTCTGCTAACAATCAGGCTCCAACTGGAAATGTGGGAAGCTGCTCTAATGTTGACAACAACAACAACAACTACAACTACAACTACAGCAACAACAACTACAACAACAACTACAACAACAATAGTTCGGAAGTAGCAAAAACTGGATCAATGCATAATTCAAGTAGCATACCCAATCATCAGTCAAATGGCAGTGGTAACAATATCCATGATGTGGGCTCATCAACCAATAAAATTCCAGTGAAGCCGCCAGAAACGAAGATCCCGTTTGGTAGGCTTCATTCTCGGGTTCTCTGTCATTTTTTGTGTGTGGGTGAAATGGTTAAAATGACTGAATCGATGATCTTAATTCCCTTGCAGGAAAAGTTGATTCCGTGGCACAGGCGGCCTTAGTACAGTCGAGGGTGATGATGCAGCAGCAGCAGGTTCAAGTTCAGCACCACCATCACCATTACCATCACCATCATCACCATATGCATAGCCAGCAGCAACAACAACATCAAAATGACTCTTTGCCTGCTAGAGGAAATGGTGAAGATGCTCCACACTATATGTTAGGGGGTGAAGGGAACTACACGAGTGCATCGGGAAGTAACAATGGAAGCAATGGGCAGGATGAAAGCAACCCTGCCGTGGTTGGCGAGGAAACAACTAACGACAACATGGATACTGAAGACGAGACGGAAGCAATATGGAAAGCTGGCGGTGGTGAGAGTGGAAGTGGGAGCAGGAGTGGGGTGGTGGACCAAAGTCCACAAGCGCTCAGGGAGGCAGCCTTGAACAAGTTCCGGCAAAAAAGGAAAGAGAGGAACTTCGGTAAAAAGGTAACTATTTATGTGACATTGTTTTAGATCTTTGCAAAAACAAAATACTTTTTTATATCAATCATTGTAATATACAGTGGTTTTCTATTTATTCCATCTCCATCTACCCCTGTTGGAAGGGGATAAATGTGGGGGGACATAAAGAATACTTCAAAATTCAATATTTTTTTGGTTGGTTTTAGAAATTTCTTCAGACTCATTTGAAATAAAGATTTTACTTTTTTTTGGTGCATATTCTGGGCATTCTTTTTTGTAGAGATATGAGCATTTTATTTTTGTCACATTTCTCAATCTGATCCCCTGCCCTGGTTTCAGGTTCGGTATCAAAGCAGGAAGAGATTGGCCGAGCAGAGGCCACGCGTCCGCGGACAATTTGTGAGCCTGTCTTCTTCCCCCGACAACAACGGCAAAGGCAAAGCAAGTGATTCAAATAGCTGACCTCGGCCTGCCTGGTCACTCGATGATGGTGCTTGCAATGTGTGTATTATGTGTACGTGGTGGTGGTGGTGGTGGCGGCGGCGGCGGTGGTGGCGGTAAGCAGCATTGGGATATGGAGTCTAGTTACTAGCAGTTAAAAAATATGTTTGGTTGTTGGACCCCATTATTCATTCCCACACGATTGATTTGTGTTTATGTCTCTAGTCTTTAAAATAATCATTTACTCGTAATTATTAGGACACACAAACACTTTGCTAGCGCTCATTTACTAATGAATAACCACTTAACAAGCGCTGTGTTACTTGTTTCATAATTATTGTACTCATTTTGGACACTTTGAAATATTATTTTTTTAAAAAAATTTACTTTCTAGATTATTCAGTCATGCTTTTTTCAGTATTAACTATTAACAATCTGAGTTTATGTATGTTTCTTCTTTAAAGGTAAATATATAATTAATGAGTCGTGCTTTCATGATCTTAAAGTTCACTTAATGTGAATTTTCTCACACTTTTAAGGAGCAGTCATGGAGATCTTTTATATTTTCAAAGAGTCTATATTTAGTTTACAATTATAAGATATTACATAAATGATCTTTAATTTTTGAAAATTATTCCATAACTGACCCTTCTCCTTTAGCAGTTATATGTAGAAAGAATATTTACGCCAAGAGAACTATTAATGGAATAATTTTCAGCAATTGAAGACTATTTATGTAATATCTTAAAACTAAAGACTAAATATAAAAAATCATATATAATTAGAGATCATTTATAAAATTTATTCTACTATTAATGCAAATAAGTAAAGAATACACACACCATTTTGAGGACATAGTTGATTGTGTAAAGAGTACACCCACCGTAAGAGATAATGAAGTTTATTTAGGAAAAGGAACAACGGATTGAGTATCTAAAATCCATCAATCACTTTAGTTTAGATCAAAACTGAGACCGTCACATAAACACTTTGACAAAAAAAAACCTTTTCATTTAATTCGTTACAATTTTCTATTATTAGACTTGAACAAAATTGAGAGAAACCGACGAACCTGTAAGGGCGTAGCTTCTTATCTTTACTTAATTCTTATATATAATCTCTGGTAGAGCTTGCTACAATTATGGATCGACCTATGTAATAATAATAATAATAATAATAATAATAATAATAATAATAATAATAATAATAATAATAATAATAATAATAATAAGAAGAAGATATAATACCATTAATAATCTCATTCAAAAGAAAATCTCATTCAAATAGTAATAATGACAAATGATAAATGGCACTTACATGCATGGAAGCCTTTATTATTAGCATCCATTGGAGAGTATGCATTTATGCATGCACAGAACGAACCAAATTCAATCTGCAAAGAATTGATCATTATCAAGAATTATATCACATTATGAATTTAATTATCAATTATTGTTTAGAAGCTATTTATATACCATTGAATGCACACAATTATAGGTAACTCGGAGAACGCGAAAAAATCGTGCATGTTTTTCTTTTTTAACATGTGGTTAATGTGCATGCAAATATATATTTATTCCGTATTTATTTTATGTTCGAACTATATATATATATATATATATATATATATATATACACACACACACACATATATATATATATATAGATTTTGGTTCTGGTGAGAATGCAATCTTAGGAGAGAAATGAGAATGAATCTAGTGCTTTAGATTGTGAGATCTAAGGGTCAAGATTTCATCAAAATTAGATGCACCAAAATGGTGTGAAAATGCATCACGTCAAAATGCACCATAAACCTTCGAAAATGCACTATCTCAAAACTATAAATATGGCATAAATTGATGAACTCCATCAATTGATTTTGAATCACAACCATTTCGCTATGGGTTAATTTTAGCCTATTTAATCGCTAACTTTCACCGGCCTGATTCGAGACAAACACATTACTACAATTTACAACATAGATTAATCGAGGAAAAATAAAATTATATAAAATGATTTTTCTAATTTTTCGCTAGTCAAATCAAATATTGATTGTAAAAGTCAAGCGTAAAATTTATTTTCAGATGTGAGGTAGCATTAGATTTTTAGTAGATTTATCTTCAGATTCCTTCATATTTTGTCACATATATATTTATATTAAATTTATTAAACTACTCCCTCCGTCCTTGAAAACCTTTCTTCTTTCTTTTTTCATCCGTCCCAAAAAACACTTCTTATTTCTATTAAAAAGTCAATTTTACCCATTACTTTTTCATACCCTACCTATCACATCATACCTTTTTTACTAATAATTTACCCATCAAATCATACTTTTACCCATCACATCAAAGGATATTTTTGGAAATTCAATGCCAAAATACACTCCCCTTAAATCTTTTCAAAATCAAAACATCACATATTTAAAGGGACGGAGGGAGTATATATTTATATTAAATTTATTATATAATACTCCCTCCGTCTACAAAAACAATTCCTCTTTTGACTTTTAGTAGATTTATCTTTATAAATTTGATTTTTTTATAATATTATTAACATCGAAGAAAAAGAAAGATAAAAAATAACTTATGGTATGTTTGAAAAAATGGATTTGGATTTCAAATCCGGATTTAGCTCAAATTCTATGTTTGAGAAACCTAAAAATTTTGAATTTGGATTTGAGTCATTTGAAATCCATGCACCTCCTCTTGTCATTTAAAATTTAAGATTTTAAATTTGGGAATTGAAAGACATGAATTGGAATGAAATGCTAGTTGTCAAACACTACCTTAAATAATTTATTATATCAATGGAAACGGATGAAGTATATTGCAATGACTTTATTTGAATGTATAAGTTATTTTGTATTACTTTATAATTTTTTATCGAATTTATTTATAAAACGGAGGGAGTATATAGTTGTATTACTTTATGATTTCTTATCAAATTTATTTATAAATGTAATTAACCATTAAAAAACAACATGAAATTTAACAATGTATTTATTCAAATTAGAGATGATTATATAAAGTTAACACAAAAATTACATATAATAAAATGTGTACATTTCATTAAAATTACATATGTGAACACCCTACATAACCTGTAAATTGTATAGAGTAAAAATAAAAGCACACAACAAAAATAATTGCTTTTTTTATGGTTTTGGTTTTTAAAACACTTTTTTGGTTTTTAAAATTATAATTTTTTGTTTTATTACAAAAATATATATAACTACGGTAATTTTTAATTTTTGAAAATAAGTATTATAAATTATGCGTGTCAGATTTTCATTTGATAAATTGAGCTGAGTGTCTTGGAATTGAGTGTGGGCTTTCAAACTCTCTTTGAGACCTTCCCCACTCTTTGTCGTCCCCAATGCCCATATATACATACATATTTTCAATGCGGTGGTGAGCCTTAGAATGAATGAATCCTACAATCGACTTCCAGATGACACTAAAATTGACCGGGAACAGTTCAGACTCCCATCCCCGGTATATACCAACTACCAAGGCGCGCGTGCGTCTAGGCAATGCATCAATGGACATTACGCATGAAAGAAATGTACGAAATTATTATATAATAAATTAAATTAAATTAAATACATGCATAACGAACCTTGATCTAAATTTTACTACCTCCGTCCCGTGAAACATTTCCCCTTTCTTTTTTTATCCGTCCCACAAAACACTTCTCATTTCTATTAAAAAGTCACTTTTACCCCTTACTTTTTCATACCCTAACTATCACATCATACCTTTTTACTAATAATCTATCCATCAAATCATACTTTTACCCATCACATCAAAGGACATTTTTGGAAATTCAATACCAAAATACACTCCCTTAAATCCCTCCTAAANTCTTTTTTTATCCGTCCCACAAAACACTTCTCATTTCTATTAAAAAGTCACTTTTACCCCTTACTTTTTCATACCCTAACTATCACATCATACCTTTTTACTAATAATCTATCCATCAAATCATACTTTTACCCATCACATCAAAGGACATTTTTGGAAATTCAATACCAAAATACACTCCCTTAAATCCCTCCTAAAAAGCAAATGTCTCATGTTTCACGGGACGGAGGTAGTATGTATGTGCATTACTAGCTACTCGTATTAGAGATCATCATCAAATAATAAACATTCCATGAAAGTTTAATTTGCATGCATACCTTCACATCAATATATAATATAATCCAGGTTATTGTTGGGTTATAACATAAGCTTCATTATGGAGTAAAAAGAAAAATGGATTCATTAATTATTTGAGGGATCACATTTTACATATGTATAAATTATTTGAATCACACATTTCCTCCACTGTTTTACACGTGCTTAATTAAATGCACACATGCAGAGGCATGCAGTTATTTTGACCATAATTACTACGGATTACCAAATAAACTTCTCCCCTTTTTTTGTGGCCAACCAATTAATTACCCACTATTTATATTCATATATACTCCGTATATTCCTTCCATTCCAAAAATTATTTCTCCTTTTGATTTTTATGATATTTTAAAAAGACATTTTTTTATTTTGACTTTTCAATATTACTCCATCTATGTGATGGATCTTACAGCCTGTTCTTTAGAACTGGAAAAAAAGATCTTGATTTTCGAAGAAACTGAAAGAAATTGGAAAGAACTGGAAAAAACTGGAAAAAATTAAAAAATACTGAAAAAACTAGAAAAAATTAGAAAATCTAAAAAAAACTTTAAATTTTTCTGTGTATTTTATATTATTCCCATTCTAAGTTTTATATTATTGTTGTTGTTGTTGTTGTCATCACGTTATCTTAATGAATGCTTTTAAGATAAAAAATATTGTTATTTTTCTTACACAAAAAAAAACTAATTTTGCACCATATGATGCCTCAAATGAAACAGGAGCACCAAATTTAAATTGTTATTGCAGCACGCACTTTGCGCAATTTCATTCGTCTTCATCGAAAATGAATACCAATTTCACCGAGGCAGCTAAAAACGGAAGATAGACGCAAGGTGATGTTGTTTGATGAACAAGCTAAAGATGCAATTAAGCAGTTTAGAGATGAAATAACAGTTAATATTTTCTAATGCAGTTAAGCTTAATTGAATATACTAAATACGGAGTATAGTTTTTACAATTCTAAAAAACATTGTATGTAACTATTTTATCCATAATATTTTTAAAATACTTTAAAATATTGATGTTTTTCTATTTTATCATGTAGATTAATATACAAAAAATGGTATTATTCATATTAAAAAGTTGAAAAATAATAATAATGAGTGTGAACCATAAAAATAGTGAGATGAAAAAAATGAAATAATTTATAAA